CCCCTTTTGGGCAAGAGCATCGGTAAACGAGGCTCTCGTTAGTGCTATACCGGTGGAGTTTCAGGAATATGCCGATGTGTTCTCCAAGGAAGGAGCCGCTCGACTACCTGACCACTCTGAATGGGACCATACCATTCCTCTTATGGAAGGAAAGCAGCCTCCGTGGGGACCGATCTATTCGCTCTCCCCGCCTGAGGACAAGGCACTCCGAGAATATTTGGACGAAAATCTGCCCTCCGGCAAAGTAGTCCCCTCCACTAGCCCAGCAGCGGCACCCGTCCTGTTCGTTCCGAAAGCAAATGGCAAGCTTCGGTTATGTGTTGACTTTCGCGGCTTGAATGGAATCACGATCAAGAACCGCTATCCACTGCCGCTTATGAATGAGCTGGCCGACGCAACGAAAGGAGCACTCTACTTCACGAAAATAGACCTGAAGAATGGCTATAATCTGATTAGGATTGCTAAGGGCGAAGAATGGAAAACCGCTTTCCGAACAAAATACGGCCTCTTCGAATATAGGGTAATGCCTTTCGGCTTGACCAATGCTCCTGCGTCGTTTCAGGTCATGGTCAATACCATATTCAAGGATCTTCTAGATCAAGGCGTAGTAGTCTACTTGGATGACATCTTGATGTATTCAAAGACTAGAGAAGAGCATACGACTCTTGTACGAGAAGTTTTGGAGCGACTGCGACGACACCATCTATACGGGAACCTCGAGAAAACGGAATGGTATCAACAGGAGGTAGAATTCCTGGGATTCATACTATCAGGAAAAGGCAACCAAGTATCACCAAAGAAAGTCCAGGCGATCGAGGGTTGGTTAGCCCCAACCAAGGTCAAGGAACTTCAGTGCTTCCTCGGTTTCGCCAATTTCCTAAGACGGTTTATCCATAGATACTCTGAGGTTTGCAGACCTATGACCGATCTCCTGAAGAAAGGTGCCGTATGGAAATGGGGCAGGGAACAGCAAGATGCGTTCGACGAGCTCAAGAGGAGATTTACGTCTGCTCCAATACTCCGACACTATGACGGACACCGCGAAGCAATCGTGGAGACTGATGCGAGTGACTGGGCCGAGGCCGCAGTACTCTCTCAGGTGTTCGAGGACGGTATTCTACATCCGGTAGCTTACCACTCTCGCAAGTTCAACGAGGCAGAAGTCAACTATGAGATCTACGACAAGGAGATGCTCGCGATAGTTTCTGCTCTCTTGACTTGGAGACATTGGCTGGAAGGGACGGACATCCCTATCCAGATACATTCGGATCACCAAAACCTGCAGTATTTCACAACGACCAAGAAGTTGTCGAGAAGACAAGCCAGATGGGCCGAGAAGATAGCACCTTTTCGCTTCAAGATCCATTACCGACCAGGCGAAAAGAACGGCAAGCCAGATGCACTCACAAGGCGTCCGGAGTTCGCAATGGAAGGGGGAGTAATGCGTGAGCAGCCCGTAAAACAGCTACTCAGCGCAGAACAGTTTGTCAGAAAATCGCGGACCAGCGTAGAAACTGGGCCCGAGGTGATTGGCAACCCCGAAGAGGAATGGAATCAGTTGGATCAGTGGTACGACATACCGAGCGTAGGGCTGCCACAGCCACTACAGGGTTGGTATGAACAGGAAAGACGATGGGTTCGGAGGATGGTTCCGGATGAACACCTCCCTGATTCAAACCTTGAGATCTTCGGACCACCGGAGGCCGCTATCGTAAAGGTAGAGCCTGCCGCTGAATGGAGTCCCGATTCGAATGACCCCATCCACGATGGTCGATGGGTAGTACCGGGCTACGCGGTCAAGCAGGTCATTGAGGAACATCATGATCGACCCGTAGCGGGGCATCTAGGAAGGGATAAAACCCTTGAGTTGATCGATAGGAACTACTGGTGGCCAGGAATGTCCACGGATGTAGCCAACTTCGTCAAGACTTGCGATGTATGCCAGAGAGCCAAGCAACGTCGGAGACACTTGTCACTCCCTCAACCCCTAGAGTTAGCCACCACACCTTGGACTGATATCTCGATGGATTTCGTAGTAGAAATGCCTAAAGAGAAATCAGGATTCCGCAACGTATTGGTAATCGTGGACCGTTTTACGAAGATGGCTCACTTCATCCCAATGACGGGAATCAACGCGGAACAAACCGCTAACGCATTCGTCAAAGACATCTGGCGTTTCCACGGACTTCCTAGGAGCATCGTCTCAGACAGAGGAACGCAGTTCGTGTCAGCATTCTGGGCGGCAATTACGGACAGACTGGGGATTCGTAGAAGACTCTCCACCTCATTCCACCCCCAAACCGACGGCCAAACAGAACGGACCAACCAACACATGGAAGGTTATATTCGGGCATATACGGCAGGAACAGGCAAGAAATGGAAGGACCTGTTACCTATCTGCGAATATGCCTACAACAATGCGAAGCATACGTCGACGGGGCAATCACCGTTCTACTGCAACTATGGCTTCCACCCCCGAACGGACTGGCCTACGGATGCGGAGATCGAACGATTAGATGCCAACGGAAACAACTACTTGGACGAGATCATTACGGCTCACGAGTTAGCGAGAGATACGCTACAGAAGACCTTCGACAGGATGGCGTCAAAGCCAGGACCGGCAGTACAGCGGTTCACTATCGGTCAGAAAGTCTTGCTGGACACTCGGAACCTAGGAGGATACTCCAAGTGGTCAGACAAGTTCACAGGGCCATTTACAGTGTCGGCAGTGGTGGGCAATCGGGCTTACCGCCTTGAGCTTCCGGTAGAATGGAAGGTTCATGACGTCTTTCACGAAATGTTGCTGCGACCCTATCGTGAGGACCCGGACCCCAACAGAAAACAGAATACACGAAAGCGACTGGCAACACCCGAACCACAGGAGGCATTGGCAGACGAGAACTTCCAGCCGACCTCGAACATACGACCCCATACGCGAAGTCAAGGCCCAGCGATCGATAATGACCGGGCTCATAAACGACAACGGAACAGGCGAGACTAAGCTCGATACCTTTCCCTACTCTATGACTTTTTCCCACAGGGTTTTCTATCATAGAAAGGGTTTTAACGGTCGAGGGCGACGTCTAGGAAGGGGGAGTAGTGTTACGGGAACTACGGAACACTGTTCTAGAGGCTTAGGACAACGAGGAATACGAGTGACGAGTTGTGATGCGAGGATGGTCGGGTAACGGAAAGGACAAGCATAGAAAGGTATCGGGTAGTGTGGGGGCATGCGGTGTTACCACACTAGTGTTATACTATTATGACGGCACGCTTACTATTGGGTGTCTCGCCCGGAATAGAATAGGAAGCGGGGCTTACGGCTGTAGGCTGTTCTACTTAGGGAAGTAGGTCTAGGATAATAGTATGGTACAGCCCGATGACTGGCAATTGCAAGGTTGGTGGTTACGTGTCGGAATTAGAATGGAGGACGGAACTATGCGGGGGCGCTTTTCTATCTGGGTTATCTTCGGGAGCATTACCTTATTCTATTATTGTTGTGTCAGTTAGTATTAGAAAGCGGGCCTTGGCATAGGTTCCAACATGTATAAATAGGGCTTGATTCTGCGAAGACTTGAGGGTATCATCAACCATCAAGTCAAGGGAATCCGGTTTACAATATCATCAGTTTAAAACGCTACAGAATTATCGCTTAGCACTGGCTATTTCCCCAAACAGTACGATATATGAGGTAGAAGACAGAACAGACCGTACCCAACACCGCAACCTTACACGCACCCCTATTGCGCCAAAGAAACTACCTTCCCAATCACCCCTCACAAATAAACTTTCCTCGACATATATACGTTATCCAAAACCACACCCCCCCCCCTCCCGCCGGGAAGTAAAAGCCACCATATATATACTCCATCCCGAGTCCGCCCCAACTACATGTATACTACAAATATATACCAACCCCGAGCTATAGAATACCAAACCTCACCCTCTCCATAACAACACCCAATTCGAAGCGGCTAGCCACGCATCAATCAACCCATAAACCCATAACCCCGCGGCGCGGCGCGGGTGTTTCATCGATGGCTGGCCCGACCCGCTCCCGTTATGCACATTGACAATGCATCTCGCGCATGATAGATACATGTACCTACATGAGTAATCAGCCCACGCGGCCGAGGATGAAGTAGATGCCGGAACAGAGATGTGGGGGATGGGATGGGCGGGAGTGAGCAGCCAACTACATGTAACTACATGTGCACCAGAGCACCCGTTTAAAGCTCTATTGTCCCAACAAGAATCGCACTTCCGTCAATTCCTCCCTGCCCCACGTAACTGTAAAAGCAGGTTCATATTCCGGTCCGCGAGAGACCCGTCAGGACGATAACGGAGCTACTACTAAAGATATACACCTGGCCAGGTTCCGTAACCTCTAAACCGGGATGCTAGTGAATTATTTGAGCTCCCGCGGTCGTTTAGTCTATGGTGTATGTGCTTCAATTAGGCACTGATAATTTGCGAGCACGGGGTCTGGTTCGTGATTTGGTACAATATCTACGTGGGCGGCGGTAATTACAAGGCGGCAGGCACCACATTATTTCTTCATGTCAAGAGACAAGTACAAAGACGTAGCCAAAACGAGAGCATAAATCCAAAGCACAAGACCCGCAACCGCTCAAGAACAAAAGGCACGCGACAATAACCTCCCCAGTCACCACCCATCACTCGGTGCTCGAGCTGGTTGCACCCGAACCCGCAGATCTCGCCCATGCGCACGGCAATCTCCGAAGACCCCAGATTACCCCACTCCTCCTCCACGGAAGCTTGCCGAGTAGTGCGCCCAGCTAGGGTACAGAGCTCTCTGTTCAGGCTGCTCTCACACTGCCAGTGCTCTGTAAGTACGCGCGCGCACACTTCTCCCCACTCTTGGGGTCCGCGAATTGTGCAAGTATTTATTGATCACTGTATATCTATCTTCCTCTATATCACGGCCTTTCTTGTGAATTATACTCTACTACACCTACGAAAATCCTACAGCGCCAAATATGAAGCTCACCACACACATCCTCAGGTCCCTCCGCGCCCGCCCACTCGTAGCTCTGCGGAGCTCAAGCTCCAGAACCCTCCTCACGCAGAGCCATTACCGAGGTGCATCCGAGGTACGAGCTTCTTCCCCTAGCTACCAGCGCTCGCTGGAATGAGCATTGCTAAAGTATAGAACGTATACAGCCCCCGCTACTACAGCAAACAATTGGAAGTCACATCGCCAGTGTCGCATCTAAATACGGTGATTCGCCAGCGTTTGCCCTCCTCTCCTGACCACTGTGTATATACTGGCCTTTGAAATGCTGAGTTATCTATGTGCCCAGTGTGATATCGAAACACCAGAGCATCAGACTCTCGTACGACGACCTACACACGCAGTCGACGGCGCTTGCGCATGGCCTTGCAGGCATTGGCGTGAAGAGGGGGGACCGTGTTGCGGTCTCGCTGGGAAACAACGCCGAGTTTGCGATTGCGACGTATGCGGTGTTCAAGCTTGGTGCTATACTGGTGAAGCTCAGACCGAAGAAATTGATGATAATGCCTTAAATTGGTGTTCTGACTTTGTAGAAAGGTTCCTCTAAACCCGTCGTTCAATTCGAACCAGGTTGTTGCGGCATTGAATCATCTTGATACCGCGCACCTGATAATCTCACTCGAAACAAATCTCCCCCGGAAACCGCCGAGATCAAATGTACCGCTGTTCCAAGAGCTCTTTCCGTCGTTGGAGACATCCATTGAGTCGGAGCTTGTGCCGTCGCTCAAGAATGTTCTTATGGTTGATAATTCGTATGGACGGATTGACCCGTCGAGGTTTAAGGCATTCAAGGTGTTTCAAAACACTCTTGAAGACGGCACTGGCCGTGGTACTTTGAGCGAGAAGGGATTAAACCCGAATGATATAGTAAACATCCAGTTCACTAGCGGGTGCGTTTTTCAAGCCATTAGTTACTTTACTGCGTTTGCTTATGTGATGAGAACTTAAGCACAACTTCGATGCCCAAAGCGGCGTGCCTGACCCATATTGGGATTCTGAATAATGGTAATAGTATTGGTGACCGTATGTTACTCACAAATAAGGATATTGTATGCTGTCCACCGCCGTTGTTCCAGTAAGTAAACAATACGCCACATAGAGCCGTAAGATGCTTATGGGAATATTCAGCTGTTTCGGATCTGTCTTAGGCTACATGGCGACCGCTACTCATGGTAATTTCTACACTCTCGCAAAATATAGGTTTCATCTAAAGTAATTTGAACTCAGGCTCGGCAATCGTATTCCCATCGGAATCTTTTGACCCTCTTCTGACTCTCAAAGCGGTCCAAGAAGAGAAGTGCACTGCTCTCTATGGCGTCCCAACTATGTTTACAGCGGAACTAGAGCTGCTGCAGAGTGGTGAAGTGCCATACGAAGGGTTTCAATATCTCCGAACCGGTATAGCTGCCGGGAGCAGCATTCCAACGGAGCTGATGAAGAAGTTGCACTCGACGCTGAATTTGACAGAATTGAGTATGTATCCCCTCTCCAGTGAGCAGCTCGATATCATACTGATCTAGCAATGTGGGATGCAGCAATATGCTATGGGTGAGGGGCTCCCTGCGCTGGGATATGAAAGGTTTTCTAAAGTGAACTATAGAATGACAGAGACATCACCGGTTTCCGCAATGACAACGACAGACGACCCACTAGTCAAGCGTGTCGACAGCGTTGGGCGGCTTCTCCCTCATGTTGAGTAAGTTTGTATCGCTATTTCTGTTCATCAGTGGGATAATAGCTGAACTATTGCAGGGCGAAGATAGTCTCTGCAACTGACCGCTATAAGATACTCCCAATAGGAGAGAGGGGCGAGCTTGTAGTGTCGGGTTATCTTGTGCAAAAGGGCTACTGGAATGATCCCATTAGAACTGTAGAAGTGATGATTCACGATGAGAAGGGGAATGTCTGGATGCATGCAAGTATTCCCGTCATCCCTTGATGTTGGCTAGCAGCGAGCCACCAACTAACTTGAGGTCGACTCTAGACAGGTGATGAGGCTGAAATGGACGAGGAGGGCTACATCAAAGTAAGCCATCTCGTCATCCCATCATGTACTTTATCACATAGTCCTAACGTAGCGGTGCTAGATCACGGGAAGACTAAAGGACCTCATAATCCGGGGCGGCGAGAACATTGTACGGTCTCTCCTAAATCCTGTCATAATTTTGCTAGCCCCACTAACGAGAGGCTCGAGCAGCATCCTCTAGAGATTGAAAACTGCCTTCTTTCCCACCCTTCCGTTATCGAAGCCTCGGTCGTAGGTCTGAAAGACGAAAGGTATGGCGAGGTAGTTGCTGTATTTGTCAGGAAAGACGAATCCAAAGATATCACACCCGATGAGGTGAGGGACTGGGTTAGGGAGAAGCTGTCCCATCATCTAGGTTTGTGCTCTGATCTTGCGTTAGTGGCTGATATAATGACCTTGTATGATGCTGATTTGGCGGGGATTTAGTGCCAAAGTATGTATTCTTTGTAGACGGGTATCCAAAGACAGCCAGTGGGAAGATTCAGAAGTTTGTGTTGCAGGAGATGGGTGCTCAATTGGTTCTTGAGCAACAGAAGATCAAGGAGTCATCATAATCTGAGGTGAGAAGGAAAAAGGATGGTAGGGGACGTGTTAGATACCTAGTGTCCGTTGTGTAGTTGTACAAACATACGTACATGCGTGTAATGTGCTTCTAAAATGATAACGTGGAGCAATTTCACACGCATAGTAATTATCTATAGGGGTTTCTCGGCCGGACAGGGCGACCATAAACCCCAAAATCTGGAATATAAAACCCAGAGCAGGCCAAAGGTGCACGCACTTATCATGAAATGTTTGCCAGGCGATAGAAGATAGAGTCATATACTACCGGCTGGTATTATGCACACCGGGTTGTTAGCAGTGGCCCGTCCTACCACCACGAGTAGCTGTTTAAGGATACTACAGGTATTTACATGTGTTTAATGGCCTCTACCTGTATCACTCATATACCATTGCAGATATATATCATTTGTCACTCTATATCCCCTAGGAAGAAAATAAATAAATAAATAAGGCGAGGTTCTATACATGGGGACCCAAACATCCTCTTCCTATTTTGGCCCCATCGTCCTAAAATTACGCCGGCGTATTGTGAATTTAACTATATTGTCACTGAAGCTTCGGGTTGGAATGAGCTCTAAAATTTGATGATGAAGATGTCCTTTCTTCTAAACATGCTCTTTTCGACAACATCTATCAGAACTTCATGGTTCTGGTGAACGTCGAACTTGATTCTCTCCTTTCAATTACTAGTATAAGTTCCCCCATTTTTCCCTTGTAGCCCTGAGTTTCTATATTACGATGAGTATTTTAACCTCCAGCCCCCCGTTGATTGTCATACAGGGTTAGGGTCTCAAATATTATCCGTATGTATTAGAATTTAGAAGTGCTTATGCTATAGGCACAGTGTTTTCTGTATTAAGGGCGCATCTGGGACGATCAAACAAGGATAAACGGTGCAAGGCTATGCTGTCTCATTTGGTACATGATGTACCTACATATGTAGGTACATAGGTAAGGATTGACATTTGCGCTAGTGGTGTCGTGTTATCACATATGCTGGACCGGGAGATCGATTTAATTTACATGTAGCCAAGAATATCTTTCACAGGAAACAAGCGCGCCGGCGCCAGCTGGCTATATGCATTCACTTCCCCGCTTCTATCACCGAAGGCAACCTCTTTAGCAACCAAAGTTTCTAACCATCTATCCTGGCATTTCTCTTACCATCAAGTTTTTGAACGCTTCTACCTATAGCCATGGCTCTTGAAACTTTTGGGCTCACTGTGAACATCGTTGCACTAATACAGTTCACCGGAAAGCTGACCACAATGGGTTACGACTACATAGGGGGGGTGGCCCGGGCATCGAAGGATTGCAATGACCTTGTTTATGAGCTCAGCTCACTTGCCAGGGTTCTCACAAATCTCCAGAGCCATATAGAAGCATCTAAGACTCAGTCGTCAGCAATCCAACAGCTTAACGATGCAGGTGGGCCTATCGAGGATTGCACTAAACATCTCACGGAACTTCGAGCAAAACCGGGAACTAGAGATGGACTCAAGGGATTGATAGATAGCCTCACATGGCCTTTCAAAGAAGCAGAAACACTACAGCATATTGCGAGGATAGAACGATATAAAAGTGCGTTCGCCTTTGCAATGAGCGTAGATCAATTGTATGTAAACCAAAATACTGGAATATTACGCTTATGTGCTTAATGAGATAATATACTAACAAGGATATAGAGCCCTTACAAAATCAATTAAAGCGGATATCCGGTCTATTGATACTGTTGTTCAGAGAACAGACAACGTTGCTCGGGATAGCAGGCGTGTGGTCTATGAAACAAAACATGTTGCAAACATTATTGATAGCACTACCCAGAATACAAATACTGTCGCTCATGACACAAACGCTACACTACACAGCCTTCAGCGTAAGATCAAGTCAGATTTAGAAATGCGTGAGGAGAGAATTTCATGTAAGCGAACCATCTCTCAGATGAGTACACCTACTGAATTGATGTTTTGTAACAGTGGAGAGGCGCGAGAATATTCTGAAGTGGCTTTATCCGGATGCATTTGATACCAGGCATACTGAAATTACGAACAGAAGACAGAAGGGCACGGGTGACTGGGTCTTTCAGCTACCAGGTTTTCAGAGGTGGATTAAGCATGAGTGTAACTCTAATAAGCTTTGTGCTTATGGTATACGTAGGTATCAATCGTCTGTTAAAGATTGTTACAAACTAATAAATCTGAGGAAATATAGCGGGGGCCGGGAAAACATTCATAAGGTACGTATTTCAAACTCAATATATGCGACTACAACTCAATAGTTGGATGTATTTGTTCTAGTTTCTTTGTGATAGACCACCTCGAGGCTCTGTCGCAGAAAGAAAGCTGTGGAGTTGCATACATATATTTCGATTACAACGGACTCACCAAACCCCCGTCAATATTTTCGCAAGTCTTCTAAAGCAACTTGCCTGCCGACTACCATATCTCCCTCTGAGAATTGAGCAATTATACAATGATCTTCACACGAAGGGGAAAAGGCCCACGTTGGACGATCTTTACACAACTCTCGAAGCCATGCAAGAATCATTTCCACGAATATTCCTCATATTCGACGCACTAGATGAATGTCACGAGGATCAACCAAGAGGATTTCTTCCCCTATTTGAGCGTCTGGGCACGGAGAGTGGTATAAGTCTTTTTTTCACCAGACGACCATACCCGGAAGATATTCAGGATAGTCTCCTCGATGCGGAAAAAAATTGAGATTTATGCACAGGAAGGAGATATCAAGAAATTCATTGAAGAAACGATCAACGAGAATCGAAGGGCACGGCGCCTTATTGAGAAGAGCAAATGCAAGGAAAGAATTATAAAGCAACTGTCCCGATGTGCAGAGGGAATGTAAGTGAGATGTACCAGTATTAGAGCCCCTGTATCACCTTTTATTGATCAGAATACAGGTTCCTGCTCGTCCGATTTCATATTGAATACCTATGTCAACAGACTTCTCCCAATCAAATCATCGCAGCAATCGACAAGATAGAAACCTCTACCACAGGCATGAAGCCTCTAAACCCGAGATTAACCGACAGAACAAAGATGTTATTGACTTGGCCCTAAGGGTTTTCTCGTGGTTACTTGAAGCTAGAAGGGTTTTGACGGTTAAAGAAATCAAAATAGCCGTTTCAGTACAACCTAGCCGGTATGAACTTGATGAGCTCGATTTACCCAATAGGCCCACTTTACTCGAGGTCTGTAGTGGTTTAGTCACTATCGACGAGGAAACGGATACTGTTCGGTTTGCGCATTACACTGTTCAGGAGTACCTTGTGGAGAAACCTACCGCCATTAACACGGGATCGAAGATCGGGATTATTTGCGGCACTTATCTTTGCTTCGATAAACTCGCTAAAGGATGTCCCCCTCCCACGGACTATACACCCGCTCTATTTCGAAGGAGAGTCCGGAGATAGTCTATTCGTTATATCCGTTCCTAGCTTATACGGCAGTATATTTTCGAGACCACTTGCGCGACTGTAATGAGGATCAATCCGCAGAGATCCTCCTTAAGCTTGTCCAAAATAGACGCTTGGCGATTATGACGATGCAAGCTCACGTAAACTTACACGGTCCTGAAAGTGGCTACTACCATGGGGAACTCGTAGGTTCGTTTTACTACCAGTCCACCTTCGAAATTATCAAGCCTTCACTGCATTTAGCATGCAGTTTCGGAAACAGAATAGTTGTGCGGGAGCTTATTGACAGTGGATATAATGTATACGGCGCGGGTCCTGCTTCACTATTGATGTCCTCTCCATTACACCACGCTGCAAGATTTGACCACGTGGCCGTGGTACAATTCTTGTTGGAAAGAGGGGCCAACATAAACTCTTTCAACTGGCGCAACGACACAGCCCTGGATTGGGCAATCGACTCCAATAGTAGGAGGGCTATCCAGACACTTACCGACAACGGTGCCGGTATCAATGCTGCGAATCCAATCGAAAGGCTACTACTAAACCTAGCAGACCTACAGACATACTCTACTAGCACCGTAGATGCATATTTGATCTTCCAAAATATCATAGAATATACACAGGATAATACCTGAATGGAAGGATGATGACGCACCACAGATATTTCTTTCTTGGTGTGTCTCCTCTAGTACAATTTTTACTATACCCTTTACTACACATTTTGCTGCAAATTTTACTTTTACTACACATTTCTGAAACTTTACTTGAAGTTTGTTCGAACATCCAAAACACAGATTACCTGTAGAGGTAAAACCTATAAAAATGTGTAGTATAGTATTTACTTGTCCATATCTGAGCCGAGAAATAGAAAAGCATAGCTAGTAGTACTAGGGTTCAATCCCGGTCCTGGCCCTGGTCCCATGGTAATATTTTTTTTCAAAGACTTCTCCTATTATTAAGTGATACATTCACTAGATATATCTCACCTCCCATATGCATAGCAATATGGACGACGTTTCCACAGAAGCAATATATGGACGCAGTGATGCCTTTTTCCGGTGCCCTTTAATTGGGATGCATTTACAGTATTACTAGAGTAAAGAGATATTGGCCTAGACGATTATGAAACACGTACAGCGGGCCGGCCGGATTTTGGGATAGAGAGGCCTAGGAAGCCTATCGATGGTCTAGTTGACAGTAAGGCAGCATTTGAGCGATATATCCCCAACCTCTACTCGACTTTTTAAGAAGGCCTCATTGAAGTTTAAATCACTACTCAAGTGACCCAATAATGTTTTTTCCTCCTCAGGACACGTGGAACACGTTACAAACCTACTTCCACCAAACACAGTCCCACTCATCTGCGAGATATATACCGCAGTAATTCGTCTCAGCGGACGGTTACACAGACGTCAAAGTTGCCTTTTACAGCGCGGATGAGGGAAGGTTAGGACGGCGTGTGCAAGACAAATGACTAGAACAAGTAATTCCAACGTCAATGCGAGTGTCCACTGAGACGAATTACTGCGGTATACGACACACGACCGTCATGGAGACCGGATATTTGACACGAGTTGAGCACTGATCCAAGATTCCATAGTTCCAAATAGAGAAATAAGGGGCAAGGAAGTCGTATCGAACTTTCTAGAGTGCTAGTAGGCATGGGGGCCATATAATTTGGGTTACTTCTAGGGATTTTCTTGTTTTATTTTTGTTTGACTTAGGCCGCTCGGGGTGTGATTTTGATGTTTGATTGAGTGGAAATTCCGACATTGAGTTTAGTTTGTTTCTTAATAAGAGACATGTCGACATCAAGTTAAAGATGGATGACCACTTCATTTTTGATCTGTTTTCTGCATCTTCTTGGATTGCATCAGCGCATCAACCACCATCAACTATTCTAAATCGTTGTTGGAAGATGCTCTAGCGCAAGTCTCTACCGTTCATGGTCAGGATGATATCTCTTCACAAGATGATCATTTCCTACACGACTAATTATCTCCGCTTCTCTAGCAAGAGTGAGGATCATTTTCCTTTGAACAACTCATCGGAAATTCTACGGCGATCTATCGCGTAGCTAGCCAAACCCAATCCACCGGTTGTACTAGCTATGTAGGTGCATGAGTGGTTCCTATATAAAAACCCGTATATGTATTAAAGCAAAAAGCGTGGAAATGAGACTCCCGAGTATAAACTAATAAACATGCCAAATTTAAACTTCACAGCGAGTTATCCAGACGGGATGCTAAGAGAATCGGGTATAATATCAACCTACAAACATGGTAGCAGTTTGGTGTTGTTGGGAAACATATGGGCAAGTAATACCGCGATAGCTAGTCGTTGACCTTCAAGTGAGACCACCTTAATTAGTAGAACTTCCTATCTCGTCAAGATCTACGCGGTGATAGGTTAAGCGCGTGGAGTCAAAAAACGTGGAAATGACGATCTCGCACCCAACACGACGGGAGATTCCTACTCTAATTGTCGTAGATAGGCTAAAAACAGAAACAAGGGCGAGTTGTAGATCTTGTCGCGTTGTGGTAATTATTAGGGAGTCGGATCCAACAGCACTGCAAACAAACAACATAAACAAGTGGGTGGGTGACGGAAATTGGGGTTTCTATAAGAAAGAGATTATCGCACTATCATGAGTGTTGTGTTTCCAGATGGGGTATTTTCCGGCTGGCTGTGTCTTGGGCCGTACGTTGGTTGGTGATGGGAGAGGAACTGTTGCGTGTCTTGTCTCGTGCGTGCTTGTAGCTACGCGGCACTGTAGGGCTGCGAGTAGGGTGCCAGTAAGTGTCTGCTGCTGTCCTTTCGGTTCAACGGCATCCCGTCTTTCCATCCGCATCCTCCATTTGAATCCATCTATTTGTGATTATGGCCTCCATTGAGACATCTAAGGAATCATCCGATCGTTCACATCGGTTTCTTCTATACTGTTTCTATAGCATTATCACATCCCTCTCTCTATCCACTGTTTCAAACAGAAATTGCTTCGCCATTTGCCTATGGATGAACCGTTTGCTGAGGAAAGAAGCGTTCACGGGCGGATCAACTCTACTTTTGTTTCAATCACATCCGCGGGTTGAATCAACGGGTTGAATGATCGAACTGCCTTTGTTTCCTTCTTTCTCTCCCAGTATTTTACTCATCCGGAGACGGATGTGTTCTTGTGCATCGATCCATCCGGCAGAGATCAGGACTCGTGGGGGCCACCGTGCCGTGCGGATAGCAGTGTATTCTGTAGCGGGTCCACCCCATGGGTCGAAAGAAAAGCACTCCACACTCCCGTCCTCTACCGATGATGTCGGCTCCCTTAGGAAAATCCTGCTACCGGGCTCTCGGGCGGCTAGGATCTTTGACCCCCTATGAGATCGAACGAACATTCGGAATAATAACGTGAGAATACTGGATATTGTGGGTGGGGCGAGAATGATGTCGAGTTGAGTTACCGGCCTACCTATCCATCTGTTCCTGTGCCTGCCAATGCTCATGAGATATCACTCGATATTCAGGGGTTTTTCTCTTCAATCCAAACAAAGCTAAGCGATGAGGAACGGCAGGTCACTAGCCAATCAGCTCCCCCCCCCACCCCCTTCGTTGACACTTTGGGAGGGCTGCGCGGCAAGAATACAGTTTCTTGGGTCCCCAAGGTCCGTGCGCGCTCATGTCACACATGGGGGCAGCCGCCGTCTTGGGAATATGACGGGGTGATGGGATGCACATCTCCAGAAACAGAAGCAGTTATGTTTTAAACAGAATACAACGGGGCGCGAAAAAGAAGAAAGAAGAAAATTAAAATAAAATAAAAGATACAAACAACAAGAGCACGTACTCCCTCGTGATCGGTGTTCCAATTTAATAATTTTTTTCTCCCCTCTCATTCCCTTTGGCTGAGAATATTCCAGTCAGTAACTGCGACATCAAGGCAGAGACAGAAAGGCCCGAAAACGTTCAATCGGACCCGGGGCACCATAAGCGCAGAAGGCCCGTGGGGGAGTAATGCGACATTTTGCATCATCGCGATAGACACAAACGTCTGTATGATACTCACGCACTCACACACTCAACACTCACGCGTTGTGTGAGCATTAACAAGGCTGCGCTGAGCACCCCCCCTCCCCACACCCCAAGACGCATATGTACCTGCTTACTTCTTCTACCCCCTCAGTCCTCATAACGACCATATCCACCTGATTGTTGCAACACACATAATTCATCTTCCCCGAAACACATAGCGTTAAAAACCCAACACAAACGTTAACCATGACTGACGTCCTCTCGATTGCAGCCTCAGCGCTGATAATAATCTACGCCTTCTCCAAACTTCTCTCCCTCTTCTTCACCTACTTTACCAGTGTCCTCCGTGCGCCTCTCTCTCGCTCACACTTATTACTAGAGCTTCACCTGCTCCAACAATTCGCCCTCGCACTCCAGGAATACACAGACTCCATCCAGGAGTCCCCCGCACTCCAAAAGCTCAATTCTACCATCGATGAACCCCTCCGTGAGTATGCTAAGAGCCTCGAAGATCTCCGGGGCGGTATCGAACCACCCTACGGGGGTATACGCGGTATACTCCAGAGTCTAGTGTGGCCATTGAAAGAGCGGGGTGTAATGGCGGAACTGAGCAGATTTGGAAGAGTCAGGGAGATCTTTGAACTGGCATTGGGGATGGACCATGAGTATGTTTACCTATAAATAGATTTTGTCGGGTGATTTTGATGCTGATTTCTGTTGCCTGGTAGGACCATCTTGAGGAATATGGAGTCACATGTCCGGCAGACATGGATCGCGACACAGGCTATCGAGACATGCGCGAAGAATACAAACGTTACCGTCTATGAGACGAAGAAGTTACTTTCATCGCCCCGGCCGGCGTCGGAGTATTTTGTCAGGGTGCCCTCGACGGCCTAGTCTTGACTAGCGGATCGGTGTATAGTGACTAGTGGGGTTGTAAATATCATTGAGGATTTCTCTTTTTTTTATTATTTCTTTTTATTGTTTCCCACTTCTTCTCTGCGGGGGCCTTGAGGGGTTTCTAGGGAATTTTTTTTCTTTCGCGTCTCGGGGGTTCGGGTATTCGGGGTTTCAGGGTAATTTTTTTTTCTCTCTCTTTTTCTTTGCCGGTTTTTTTTCTTTCTTTGCTTTTCGTCTTTGCTTTCGTTTTGGATAAAAACAACTCAAGGGCTGCGCCATGTGCTTTCGTTTCTGTGTGCCACTTGCTACAAAAATCTATTCCGGCTATGGAGTATCGTATGTACCTGCATTAGGATTCAGGGGTAACTGCATAAGTGCATAGCGTAGCATGAAATGTTTACTTTCTCTATGCGTTTCCGGGCCGGGCCGGTTCTTGAGAGAATTGCTCGGGGGTGAGGGAGGGAGTAATACTGGGTGCCTGGAACGAGGCTAGCCTTCTCCAGAGAGACATGTTTGGTCATAGCATATCACTCAGTATAGGGTGGTTTGGCTTTGTGGAGATTTTTGAGTTGTGGTTTTTCAAGACTCAGGGACAGCATGGGAGGTATCGAAGTATATTTGTATAGCTGGCCGGCCTAGTCGTGTTCTGTCTGGCGCAGGCTAGTTGTACTGTGATTTAATACTCATGTACATAACGCTAAAACTCCCGACGGGCGCGGGGAAGAGATAAGCGTGTTTGGGGGGGGATTCTTTTTCCTGTGGGCGAACTCGGGGAGTTGGCTATCTCCGTCCAGGGATTGATTGTCTCTCGGAAGATTGGTTGAATCGCAATACGTACTAGTAAGTACCAGTTAAAAGGAGTAAGTCATATACACAATTAATGAATTATAAAAGCAATCAATCATGAGATATCACTCGCAACATCGATCTTAGCGACCGACCCACTAGAACATCGCATAGAGAGCTTGCTAGAAAATCAGTGGGCAGAATTTATAATGCAAGTCAAAGTACAAAGATGGTAACAAATATATTCGCTATAACTAGAAACTATGCAATCCTGTACCAACCAACTAGCATATACCACCACCCGCCCCCCCCCCAAAAAAGAAAAAAAAACTCCCTCAACCCTCATAAATAAATTAAAAACATGTTAACAGTCAATCCGCAGTTCCCCGGCTAAGACCCCCGCACCGCACAGCACACTGCTTGGATCGAGGTGTGTGGAAGCAATCAGTACGTCGACTGGAGCTAGCATAGAGAACTCCGGATTGAAAAATCACCAGGCTACCAAGTACCAAGATCCTCCAGAGAAAAAAAAAGCATCAGAGAAACAACATCCCCAAAAACCAAGAATCAAAAATCAAAAGCCAAAAACTAAAAGCCACAATCGAAGTCAAATCAAACCCAAACGCCTATAAACTCCATATCAAAAAAAGCGGCAACCTCAATTGCAAAAAACGCACCAAGAAAGGAAGAAAGCAGCCGAAAACCCAAATCAGCAATCAAACGCAACCCCAAAGTCAAAAAAGCAAGAAAGAAGCTCGGAAATCAGAAGAAGGAGAAAAAAACGCCACCCAAAACCCAAATCAATGGGGTAAAGAAGAAGAAGCTGCTAAAGAAGAAGAAGAAGTTAATTCACAAAAACACCAAACACCAACCCAACAAGCCCCTCCCCATTCCCGCCCCACAAATAACTACCCCCCCACCAACCGTTTCTGCCTGCAAAGACCCATCTCAGCGATTCCCGTGTGTTTCTATCTCGATAGCATCGTCCGGCGCGCAGGTCGAGAGCGGTTTATTTTATTCACCACATCTCGTTTTTTTGGACCGCGTGGGTGGGGACGAAGAGGATGAGAATAATGAGGACGAGGAGGAGGAGGAGGACGAGGAGGACCAGGAGAAGAAGATTATTGTAGAACTAGATATTATCGTCTGCACAGCAGGATTTGGAGGTTGAACAGCTCGTTATGAGTATTGTGAGAGAACGAGCGCTGATGAAGGAACGGGAGAGACGGGGAGAAGAGAGGGGGTTTATATATGATCTTGTCAGTACACTCGTATCTATGTATACCCCCCTTTCCCATACCTCAGTGCTCGGCGAGCGTGGTGTCATTGTTACAATGACACCCACCAATACTTCAGTTGCCAGCTGGGGCGTTTCAGAAAATGCGGGGTACCAAGTGAAGTGGCTCCGTCTCATCTGGATGCGTAGCCCGCCATTGGCCAGTTGCGATGTGGGTGTTTGAGGTGTATGTAACTGCACCATTATCTCACGAGTCGACGCCCGTCACATGTTCTACCTAAGGCCAGTTTTGAATCCTCCTGGTGTGCGGTTGTGGTATTGCTACAGTTAGATTTCCAGAATGGGATTGCGAAGGTGCGGGGATTGGTGATGATATACTTGGCTCCTATGAAGACTGACTCGGAGGGGAATATAGCTCAGGCTCGCAGTTGAAGCAGAGCATACCTGCATGATATAATTACCCCTCTCTCAAACGCAATTAAGTCGCCCTCGTAAAGAGGCCCTCTCCGCCGAGGTCTTAAAAATCAAACCATACTGAGATAGTCTGAGCTAGTGTTAGGTGGAGACAGAAAGCATTATCAGAGCGAGAATTGAGTTTTGTGGATTCAAATAGCACCGATAAATGAAACCGCGGGGTATGGTGGATCTGGATTCATTCTGAGAGAGCGCCTTCGTGTGTATTAGAGTGCCAATGACCCCATAGTAAGATCGTCTCTTTCCCGATAACAGGCGGCACCCAATGGAGATAAGCCAGTTAGAGTTCCTGGGATAGAGAAGTGTCAAGATTCTAGATATCTATTTGTTGTTGCCGGTTTCTGGCGGGGCAACGTGTCTATCAGGCCGCGGGACATAGAGGGGGGTGAAGTGGTGCGCGGAGCAATCGAGTGTCGTTGATTCACCCGACAGCCAACCACGGGCCTCGTGTATCAACGTATCCACGTGTTATCGAGTGATAATCTGTGCATATAGCGGCGCTGAAACTCCAAGCCAATGGAAAAAACCAAGCATCTTTGCAGCTCCAAGAAAATTCACCTGATGTCTCAGAGGTTGCACCATGTGATTGATCTTGTCCTTTTAATCGTACGCTGTAACTAAAGATATTACTACTGCGTTTATCCTTAATTATGCACACCAAATTGTGGCTAATTCTAACCAATCCGTATCAGTTATTCGTATTATCTGTTGCATTTAGCATCCGTATAAAGAAAGAGGGTTTTAAGTTTGGGGGGGAGGTGGGCGCAAGATTGTCCATTCAAACATGACTATCAAGTGATAAGATCTACGGACCTAGCCCATTGAAATATAGGTTGTAAATCATATATTCCTAATTAGCTGGCAATTGTCTCTTTTAACTTTAAAACGACCATTTATACGGCATATGGGCAGGTGTATAGTTTAGGTAACGGGCTTAAAAGGGTTTCACAGTATCGACGTGCACGCGTGCTCGCGTCGATATTAGCTCATGGAAAACTGACCTCGACTAATCATATATCAAACAAGTAGTTTCCGGCCTTCGGCCGGTACTATATGTATATCAATCAGTCTAATATACAGGCAGGCCGCTTTGTGGCTTATTTGTCTATTTGCCTGCCAGGAGGGGTCGAGGGCCGCGCAGCGGCCTGAGAGCCCCGACTGACAGGCAAAGTCCATCACTATATCTAGATCTGATCTGGTCAATATGTGACTTTTCTGATATATTATCCCCATATATCAACAGATAAGTCAGACAATTTCTCCAGTTAAAACTACAGGTATATCCCTTTAACAGCTACCAAACCACTAAAATCGAACCACTATCAATTCCCAGAACCAGTAGCAACCCTATTAACACTCTAACACCACTCAGCACAATACCCTATGTTAATATCCAACACAATATGTTTCAAGTGAAACAAAAACATCTCTCAATGAACCAATCAGAAGACTATAAAAGCACATTGCATATGCAGGTTATAATTATATACTTATTAGATGTCGGGAAATAAATGACGCACAGCGTACTCTGATTTGGCGTTTCTACGGCTTACTCTACCTACTAAGCCCCTTACTTTACAACTCGACTCCTTCTTCGACTCCTTCTTCGACTCCTTCTTCTACTCCTCAAAGAGGTGCTTTTATTTACCGCACACTCTGCGCTCCACATATATCCTATTAACCTCTAGTCGTTATAGGGGGATGTATTCGAGGGGCGAGATAAAGTATTGTAGGAATAAGAACTACTTACGTAAGTGTACTCTCGTCCCCTGCGGAGGATGGTCCGTGGCCATTTCTTAAGTAGTATCTGCTGCAATTTTATCAAGTTGCTAAAGCTAGATTGACGATATAGAGACAAAATGGTGATAGAGGAGTAAAGTGAATAAGTGTGGAGCCCGAGGGAGCCCAGTTTAAGGCGAGAAGAATGGACCCTGCGATGTAGATATTACCAAGCACCTACTCCTAGTTTTAAAAAGCTGATTGCCTGTCGCTTGAGCATGAATCTCATAACCGTTCTACGAGGAATGGGTCAGTATGATAGGGATAAACCAAGTCAGGGGACAAATAATTAAGATGAGGGAAAGGTCCGGGCAAATACTTCACCTTATTACCGCACCAGGATCAATTAGACTACATATAGTGCTTAGGCTTTCGTCTTCGAAAAAATGCTGCCTATTCTAAAGCAGACACCGAGACCGCGTGACTTTGATTCATAGATCTCTTTACCTCTCTAGATCTTATCTACGATCAATAGGCGGGAAAGAGATCTTTACTATCCACTCGGATCTAGCAGTAACAGTTCCGGTAGCTTGGTTGAGCAATGCGCCTGATCGGGTATTAGTAGGACGTTTGCTAGAGGAGATGGGGTCGGATTCCCCTTAAGGTCTGTTGTACCCCTGCTTAGAAATATTTTTTCTTCTTTCTTTCTTTCTTCTGCGGGGATGTAGAGTAGGTAGATAAAGTAAGGGAGAACTAGGCCCTCTCCCTATTAGGCCAAATGTCGTGGCCCTAATAGTATTGCACTTCCAAGACTCATGGAACCCTAACCCTGGTAATGTAACACATAACTACACAGTGACCAACCACCACCATCACTACCACCAACCTTTCGTTATATATCACCACCCGAGTCTGTTTAAGAGACGCATAGGTAGAAATATCTGTGGGCGTTTTAGAGCCGGCATAAAGTCTCTGGAGAGTTTCTAATTGAATCTTGCGGTATCGGTCCCGTTAGATAGGCGGCCGGTTGTGTCATTCGAAGCCGGGGTCATAAATGGCAGAACTACCGGTACCAATTGAACTGATATTACATTGCGAGAAAAATATCTATATCTAGCATACTACTGGGGGAAATAATTTTCTCTAAGAATTCCAAAAAGATTTAATTATTAAAACATAAGAAACTCCAAAGGAGTGAATCTCCCCTTGCTGCTATCCCCCCACCCCCCACCCCCTTCTCTCCAAAAGTCCTCAATATCTATAGCTACTATTACAACTCCCCCACCCCGCCTCCTCCCAAATTAAACCCACACCACTAACCCCAACACTTTAAACAAGGAACGAAAGCACCGCCGGAACTGCCGCAATCAAGAACGAGCTCGCCAGCAACGACCCCGCAGCATTGGTCGTCTGGGTGGCTACCGGTGCAGAACCAGTGGTAGTGACATTAGAGGCATTGGACGAACTTGAGTTCGTGCCATCAGTGGAGCCGATGAGGCCCAGTTCCTCAAGTTGCTCAGTGGTCGTGTTGAAAGCAGCCGGATTCGCAACTATGATTCGATGAAAATTAGTACAAAGTTCCCTTTCTCGTCTGGGATGTGGGGGAGGGGAGAAGGTGAAGGTGTTACTTACTTATGAATGGGAGACATGTACTGAATACGTTCTGGGCGATGGCTGCCATGTCGGCATCCTCACTGTCAGGGCATGCTTCGACACAAGCTTGGCTTCTGTTGGCGCCAACGTTCTGCTCGAGTCTCAAGGTCTGCGAGCAGGCGCATTCAAGGCCAGTGCTGCCGCAAGTGAGGTAGACTGCATCAATGTCGACTTCCATGCAATCCTTGTTGCAGGACGGGATGTCGTCAACAAACTCTTGGTAGCTTGTGTAGCTGCGTAGCTGCACTTGTGCGTTCACCATAGCGAAGAGGGACAACAGGGTAGTGGCGTATGTGAAGACGGCGGTGGGAATCATTTTTGCTAGATTTGTGTTGTTCGAGAAGCTCTACTGGTGAGGAAGATGGAGATTGAGTGTGTATTAATTGATATCCGGGGACTCTGAGTGAAGTGAGAATGAAGAGGTGAAGGATGTGGTTGAGATGTTAGACACCCGTTGGCTTATATACTTTGTTGATGTCCGGGTTCATGGGGTGACTATATCAATTAAGGTTGGGTGCGTTTTTGGTTGGCTGGTAGTGCCCCCATCTGTGCTATGCATGTACCTACATTATGAAGCAATACTCGTGCACGCGTGGCTATGTTGATGGCTTCGAGAGGCTGATTTCAAGGTTCTTACTCCTAGGTTCACCGGACTAAAACCCTGCTAAAGGTGTTGATCATAACATATCGGGTCGGATCTTTCCTCAAGCCGCGTACAGAATATGGCTTGAATCCATCAATTCCCAATACAGCAGTGCCTCAGTATCGAAAGTTCCACATTAAGATTGTGGACATCCAAGGGAATTATCACAAGGTCCGATAATTGGTGCCAGCATTCCCATCTGATACTTCACCGGATTTTTTATTTTGTTTTTTGGTCTATCGGGTGATTGTAGTACTCTGGTTTAATTTTCTCAATGTTTTCGATTTTTCTTCCTTTAGAGGCTCCTTTGGGATCCTAGATACTACATGTAGTTACAATTTCAGTTCAAATATCGATATCGCCGAAGAATGTAACTTCTGTATGGAGATAATTTACAGTTAATTCATACTATATTTAGACACACACCATATCCTGGGCATTCCAGTGCGGTTTCATTGGAGAGTTTTACCCATTTTGGACTGCGGAATGCTTGGCTTTCATGCACTGCTGTTTGACAGGGATTCTAGAACAGCGAATAGTGGATGAGATCGTTAAACTGTCCCAGTCCTTTTATTCTTTTTAGATCGGTACCTGTCTGTTGTCTTCATAGGGCTGGTCGGATAAATTGAACACCGACCAAGATGGATGTGAAGGCGACCCAAATATCGGTACATAGTATCGATCCAAACACAAAATATCACTCGTCTTGGCAAACGTAGATACCAAGCATTAGTAGGCTAACTTTGGAGGTGTTTGTAGCTCTCGATCTCTGCACAGTTAATATTATGTGTGTAGCTCTAGAACTATCTCGGTCTCTAGACCTCATTCTCGTACGGGGGCATTGTTCCAACAGACGTGTCGGATGGTTGGTATTCTGTGGGAGCCCCAATGCAGAAAAAAGTAGGATGCCAACAATGACTAGGGTTTAATTTGGATACACCAAACAGGTTACAGTAGTAACAATCAACATTAGCATGCCGGCCCTATGGGCAGATTAAAGTACAGTAAGCACACAATCTGCGAATAAATATGTGTCTAGTCTTACTTACATACTTCTGATCATCAACAATGCCAAGCATGATTGCGCATTTGGGAGGTGTTGCCAACCTATTGTGCCGCTGAGAGCCTCAATGCCTTGCACCACGCCACGATTCCTTGCATAACCAACCAAACCAGCATCCGACCCCACATAAATTCGGTTCCTGATCTTGGCGGGGGAACAATATTAGACGACATGATAAGGCTGAACAAGTTTTAGAAGGAGGTGACGTACATAATAGCGCGGCAGAATTGGTTTCGCCCTGACAGACGCGCCAGAATAGATATCGGCCGAGAGAAAGATGTGTGGAAATCCGAAATTTCTTGGCCAATAGGTCGGGGCATGTTTCGAAATCTCGAGGTTCTTGGATGTTTTCGACGCGGTGGGAGAAGAAGTAAAGGGAGGAAAAATCATTACGATTGGCTTATCTTGTTTGCTCCATTGGTTAGCCGGAGCTAGGCTCACTGGCGTCCGACGCCCTATTCCCCCGAGTGATAGTGACGAGAGAGAAAGAAGACAACAATAAACACAAGAGTGAGGTTAATTCCATGACGTGGCATCGGAGACGCTGTTTGTTGGCCCGACTTGAACTTGGAGACACGTTTCTGGATGGTGATGAAAAGAACATAATACGGCAAGTCACATATACTTGTATTTACCACAATAGACGATAGAATACATATGGCACTTACGCATATATAGGAACGTACGCGTGTGCTTTACCAAGAACCCTTTCGTGTCTTGTCTTACTTGTGATCGCTGGTATCCCTTAGACGGATGAAATCATCAAATTCGCAGCCTGGACCGTGCACGCACTGAGTTGGGTATATCCGTTGCTCTTAATGGTTGATACTCGCGGGCAGGCAAAAAGTACCGGACAATGCAGGTTTTTGGTTCACCAATGGGTGCGCGTGCTAGGCGTGAACTACTGCAAAAAAAGCCCAGAGACAAAACTTGCATTGTCCGGTACTTTTTTGCCTGCCGCGAGTAATAGACCTAGAGCGAATCAAAAATAAGTGTTAGATACCTGCTTAGGCTAGTATTAGCTCAAAAAGGCAAGCTGCGAATTTGACAGTTTCATCCGTCCAAGGGATAGGTCAAGTGCGTGAGGGGGGATGGTGAAGCTTAAACATCGAGTATGGAAATGCTCTCTCTAATTAACTCTATTGTGCCCATTAAGTCAGCAGCCAGAAATCTGGGACTCCACCAGGGCCAGAATAGCAACCAAAGAAATACAGATCACCGGATAATCGACAGGACTGAGGTGGGGAGCGGGATCAAGGGTAGAATTAAAGAGAAAGTAGGAAAGTTCTAAAAACAGTGAATAGGTTATATTTCATCCCCTGGTGCTATTGTTTTTTAAAGGACTGGTTTAAAAATGTCGACATTGCAATTGGATGGTGCGTTTGTTAGTCTCGTACGCATCCCCTACGTCTTAACAGCAAACTGCTCCTAGTAGCAGTAGAATCCGTAACAATCTTCGGGAAAACCCCAACATGTTTGCTATGATGTCGGCCCCCGAACTGTGATATCGGGCTCTGAATTGTGATGTAGGAAGCCGACTTGTGATATAGAAGCCCGAAATATGATATAGAAGGCTAAATTATGATATAAGGGTCAGAGTAAACATGTACCGGGTGTCGAGGGTAAGTGATCAGAATCTGATAAGTGAATGTTGAATACGGCTATACCCTACATGTAGGTAATAAGTGTTGGAATCGACGTGCTGAGATATAGTGGTAATATACCTGCTTTAGGTAAAACGCCACCAACATACGGTGTTTGCAGATAACTGTATCTCAGCTGATCAGGGCGTTTGACCTATCACCTATTGCCTGTCGCTGTAGAGTACATGTGAGTGGGGAAGGTGGGTGTCATGGGGGTGACTACTATATTCATACATATGGACCAGACCGGAGAGTAATTAAGTCGAGAGAGTATCCATCCTCACGACATCGTTAGTGCCGCCTTCAACCTACTCCCCATACAACACTGCTGATGATGAAGATGCGCGAGGGGCAACAGATATGCTGGGATGATAACAACTACTCACTTCTCCGGCATATCCTTACCAAAATATTTGAAAATCCAGATATTCGTCTTTGTGTCTGGAGGCACCCCAATGAAACCAGGCTTCCACTGATGACGAGGAAAGAAGCGATAATAAAACTTATTGAGATTGCTCTCCCTGGCTATGTTCAGTGCGATTGGTTCATACCAGGGACATATGCCAGTGCCGTTTCTTCCAAGATCGGGCGTCTATATAAGATCTACTTTATACACTTATACCCCGAAAGCACTAGTAGAGACGAGCTCATAGCATCAAAGGATTGTAAGTATTATTGAATAGCCTTGGTGATCTACTGTGTTAATTTGACTGACTCATCGCGATCAAGACAGGATTAGTCGGGAAAAAAGTGTCTGGAAACTCTTGGAACAGCTGGCCGGAGATTCTCCGGGGAGGCATGGGATCTGGGCAGTGGTTAAGCCGCCCAAGAGACCTGAAGGAAGGCTCTCCCAGAAGAATAAAGTTAAGATAGTAGTTGATTTGACTGGGATGGATGGTGATGGTGGCGGTGGGAGCCCATATATCAAGCCTGAGGCGTCTGATGATTCAACACTAGCTGCTAAACCTTCCGCTACACTTGAACCCGCAGCGTGGGTACGTGTAACCTCGAAACAGTTATAACCTCTATAGAAAAGACTAATTTGATCATAAAGAAAGCTATTCCTATGAGTGTTACCTTAAGGCCTGCAGAGAACAAAGTATACCCTCTAACCTAAAGCATTTCGCTCGTGGTTCTAACATAATATCTAGAAACACCCAACTCTAGATTTAGTCGAAGACTTAGATACCTTGAAAGAGCGCAAGCTTCAGAAAGCTTGCGAACATGAGCTAGTCATACCCTCCATCGAAATGACTAATTCGATCACAAACGAAGCCACTCCTATGAGCGTTACCCCAAGGCCTGCGGAGAACAAAGTACATTTTCCCACTCAAAGCACTTTACTCGGCTTCTAACGTGATATCTAGAAACGCCCAGCTCTAGATTCAGGAGACTTAGATGCCATGGAGGAACGAAAACTCCAGAAAGGTCGTGAGCACGAGCTGGCGGTGCTCAATGCAAAGATCCGTCTCGTGGAGGCCGAGACTGAGTTAGCCAAAGCCAAGATCAGAATAGATCACCAAAAGAAATGAGCAGGGGCACAGTGTCGTGATGGTAAATATTTCCACGGTAAAGTGGTGACTGAAGTTCGAATCCCAACAACATTGTTGGAGCTGATGTTAACTATCTGTAATAAGGGAGGCTATAAATTAGAAGCGGCTCCTAGGTCTTATAAATACGAATCTTCGGCGAATACTATAGTTTTAGGCGTTGCATGAACGTGTATTATTAGATCAATACTAAATTTAGCCTCTTATATTCATTGTTCGATGTATACAGTCGACTCTCGCTGTAAGGGTACAGAGACTTCCAAAAGTAGGATCACAACTGGCCCTTATAATAGAGAGGGTACCCAACAATGGATGAATCAAAAGAGATTTTCGAGTTTTAGGGGAAATTTGATCATAGCTTCCCTTTTTTATTAGGATATAAACACTGAAAAGACTATAGTACAGTCTCATAAGGGTTTGGGTTGTGAGGGTATTTGCTTTATAAGGGTAGGTGTTTGGGGTCCTCAATGGGTTTCGTAGGTACAAATTTTCTCCTTCTATAAGGGTACACGCCCTATAAGGGTATGACTTCGCGCTACTTTTGTACCTTATAAGGAGATTGTACTGTATCTAAACCTTCAATGGGATCCTTAAAGCAAGTACTGGGCAATTTACCTTAATTTTACACATAAAGATTTTGAATTCATACCCTTATAGCGAGATTACCCTTATAGACAGTACCTTTATAGCGGGAGTGGAATGTATGGTGTGTAGCGCGTTGACTAATCACTAGGTCGTAAGACAAGTGGTAGCGACTTCTGTTTTTAGATATCTTACTTACCATACTCACGCATTAATTAAGTCCTGAGGGCACCTGGTAGCACCGATTATAAAAATCTCACAGGACTTAATTAATGCGCGCGAGTAGAAAGAATTATAATTATATATTCCAGAGGTGGGTATATCACAACTAATCATTTGCTCACAGACCATCACTCGGTCGAACTGCCTCGCATATCCTACGAGATTTTTTTTTTTTTGTTTAATTCATTAATTGCATGCAAATATCCCACGAGACCTAGGAGCTGTAGCTCTCTGACTTTGGTGAGATCTGTCTGGGTGACTGTTGGGGTGGAAGTGCGTAATCCGGGTGACTAACCCAAACACATGACCTAAACCGAAGAGCATGCCGACGCCTCAACCATCCCCACGACATTATCACCACCACCATAATCATCACATCATTATCATCACCATCATCATCATCACTTTCAACCTACTCCCCGTATATCACTCCCACGATAGACAAAAATGCGTGAAATACTGCTCCACTGGGTCAGAAACGACTACCGCCTTCTCCGGCATGTCCTCACCACAATACTGAAAAATCCGGATATCCGTCTCTCTCTCTGGAATCGTCCCGATGATACCGAGCCTGCCCCCATGACGGCGGAAAAAGCGGCAATGAAACTTATCAGGATTGCTCTTCCCAGCCATGTTGAGTACGAGTGAGAATTCAATCCATTGAAGTACTTTAATGGCGTTTATACCAAGATCAGGCGTCTCAATAAGATCTATTATATAAACTTGTACCGAAAGTAGAGACCATCTCATAAGATCAGATGATTGTAAGCGATTTAATGGCCCTGGTCTACTGTTCCACTTTGACTAACTCTTCGTGATCATCTAGACAGACTTATTCAAGTAAAGCCTGTTTGGGCACTCGTGAAACAGCTGAGCAGAGACTCTCCAGCTGAGAAAGATAGATCTAGGGCAATGATTAAGCCGCCCGGGGAACGCGTGGGGGATCCGAACGGAGCCTCTCCCGAGCAGAATAGAGCTAAGGCAGCAGTTACTGTACCTAGGACGGCAGGTAATGGTAGCGTTTGGAATTTACCTACTAGGACTGAGTCGACTTCCTACAATCTCAGATCTACTAGATCTTCAGCCAATCATGAACCAAACCCGAGCAATATTGTGACCTTGAAAGTAGCCGCACCCTTCGCCGAGACACCTAGGAGCGATGCCTCAAGGGCTGTGCGGGACAAAGTAATTCCTCTAACCTAAAGCGTTTGGCTTGTGAGCGCAAGCTGGAGAAGGCTCGTGAGCATGAGCTGGCGCTCATCAATGCGAGGATCCGTCTCGTGGAGGCCGAGACCGAATTGGCCAAGGCCCGAGGGGATCATCAAAAAGAAATGAGCAAGGGCTCTGTTTTGTGATGATATTAATGTTTGACAAAAGCTCTCGTGATTTTCGCATAGCAACCGGCAAAAATTGCTCAAAGTACTAATTCACAAAGTCGACAATCGAGCTTCATACACCGGAGCTACGTTCTATCAATCTTTGGCTCTCTAATCACATAACTATGGTGCGCCCACTCTTAAAGGTAACCAAAAGTAGCGGAAAGTCAATCGCTGATAACTTTATGACCATGATAGATATCAAAAATGTGGCAAAATAGAAGTATAGAAATAGTGATGAACTTTAGTTCTATTTCGCCAGATTTTTAATATCTATCATGGTCATAAAGTTATCAGCGATTGAAAATGGTTGTTTTTGTATGTAAAAAGCGCCAAGACTGAACAAAGTGGAACAGTATTATACCCATTTATACCCCCGAAAAGCAAACCTGATCGAGTTGTCGCAGTGGTGCAGGAAAAAGGCTAGAAATGTGCCCTCTGGTTGGCCTATGAGTCCATATTGCAGCCACAATTGTTCCACATCCATTTGCCGTCGTGTCACCTTTAAGAGTGTGCGCACCATATCTCCTCTATATCTTTTGCGGTTGCGGTGTTATAGTCGTTTTATGACCCACACTTGTACAAAATACGTGGACCTTTGTCAGTTCACAATAAATAGCTCTACGATAAGATGATGACTTAAGTAAGTTCGGGTCCCGACAATATTATTGAGGTCGATACTAGCAGTCTGTAACAAGGGAGGTCTTAACTTAGAAGTAGATCCTAGATATTATGGATACGAATGTTCGGCGGATACTATAACTAGATTTTGGCCTTGATGAACGTGTATTATTAAATCAATGCCAAATATCTCCCCTATTCGCTGTCCGATGTATTGTGTTTCACCTTGGCCAGAATATCAGGTGATGACCATGTACGAATTTCTGTCTCCAGATGTTGTGTTTACCGTCGACTCGATCTCCACGGCTCCGATGGCTCTGGAGCAGTTGTATCACAACTGATCACTCGCTCATAGACCATCACTCGGCCGAACTGCCTAGCATATCCTACGGGACCTACATCCAGCTACCTCCCTGATACAAATCTACTTTCCAGCTTGGTGTACTACTCACAATGTTCTTGAGCTCTTTCCTCTTTAATCAATGTATAGTCCAATTTCGTTAGCTACGTTGATTGTGGTCAGTGATTACGGTAGTCGAAGTTGTCATGTTTGGCACGAGCCTGTTCGAGACGCCACTGACATAGAGCTCGAGCTGGCTCGGATTATGAGAACGAAGGCTCAGGAGTATGGCTTGAGCCCAGGCTTGAGCTCTCATTGATCTAGCTGAAAATAGTTATTTACATATACTCCCGATTTTTAAGGACGAACTCAGAGGGTTTATCTTCGTCATTTTTATTTAGTTTTATCGTCCTCAACCCGCCACTAATAGTCCAGGGAGTTTGAGCCTACAATTAGGATCAAGCTTTTCCGTTCCTAGCTCTAGGTGGCCTGGAGTTGTGACAAGGGAAGCTCGGGTTAATGTTTCATTAACCTATAGCTTAGACGTTGTTTCAGACCATCCGTTCCTTGTATGAGAAGTAGTTTGGTCCTTAAACATAGATGTAAAGAGAGAGCTTCACTCCTGTCTCCCGCTTTGTTTTCTACTAACTCATCAGTTCATACAATAAATTTTCCACGTTCTCGGTTGGATTCCTCACTTTACTCCACAAAGATCATCTCTGATAGTTACAAGTAAGTACTGCCTCCACACTCATAATATCGGAAAAGGGCCTAAAATGACACATCTGTCGGTAGATGTGCTCTAACCACAATAACACATGGCACTGAGCACTGACATCCAAGGGTTAGGGGTTTTCTCATCTTGGCACTGTGCCAAGCTTTAAGTACCACTTCCAGCGCAGCATCCACCATGGGCGAGTGGTCTAGTGGTACTAGACTGCTCGTCGGGTTAGACACCGCGTGTTGACCAGTACACGTAATGGTCCTGGGTTCGAACCAGGGGTGGGGGTAGCAACGCACAATGGGCAATAAGCCGTTGCAGTACCTTTTGTACTTTTTTGTAGCTAACTAAGAACCTTCCTTTCTTTCTTTTCTTGGGATAAATTACATGGGAACGCTATATGTGTTTTAATGTTTTGTTTTATTCTTGAGAGGAGGATCCGGAAGGGATGAGTGGTGGGGCTGGGCGGGGGGAGGGGGATCGGGCCGGGGACCGGCTCACTCGATTATGTATGTAGCTAGGCGCAGAGCACTGACGAGTATACTAAAAAATGATTCTACCAAAAACACACACTTTAGAACCGAATCGAATAGACCATGCCAACAAACGGCTCAGACTCGATCGCAGTACTCATAGCCAATCACTCGCATCACAGGTCATCACTCGGTGCTTGGCTGGCCAGCTAGCTAGCTGCCATCATGCGGTGGGACCGATATATGCTTCCAAGTTGAATTAACAGAGGCTGTGGGTGCGAGCACCTCTGCGTTCCCGCCTACATGATATGGCCCATACACAGCTCTGACGCCTCGAGCTGCTTCTAGCTGGTAATCATCGCACGCCATGCAGCCGGGTGTCGTGAGTTCCGCATCCACAAACCATACCGGTAATCGGGAAGGTATCTTGATCAGCTCTCTAATCATTTTGTACTGCTGGTCGTAACAAATGTGCGGGGGGGGCTCGGTGTGCGGTGGTGCTGTAGTTGGGGCTGTGGGTATGGGGACTGGGGCTTGAAGGTATGGGTACATAATACATGTACATGTAGTTATATTGATTTTGTTTGGTATAGGTATAGGTGTTCACGAAACTGCATGTACTGGGGAAAACCGGGAATACTACTAACTCTCGTACCCATATGATCGAGTTGTGGTATGTCGCTAGGATCCATTCAGTCATTGTTGTACCGGCATCGTTCAATCATGGTCAGAGGAGGGGAATATCTACAAGTGGTAGCTAGGTAGGTACGTTAATGAATGTTGAAACAAATCTACTACTAGTCGGCCGAGTTGTAACGCCAACCAATTTTCCAACAGCTGATCCTTACTTCTGATGATCCAGAACGCCCCAAAACCGACGCCCCCATGGCCATCAACGGTAATCTACGTATCACTCACATCCCATGCATGCACGTATATGGTCAAGAAATTTAAGATTCCATTGTCAACTCCATAACCCAGCAAACGCGCGCACACAATGCCTACAAGAACCCGCTCAACCCCGCATCAATACCGAAAGCCCGACCAATCCCCCCCACCCCTCCCAGGCCCCTCCAGCACCAATCACGCACCTCCCCAGCCCTGCCATCCGCCAGCTGCGGCCGCATTCCCAGCAGCGGCTCCACCACCACCCTCTTCCCCTCATCCCTCTCATCCCTCCCATCCCTCTCATCGACATCCAGCCACGCTTCCAGCGGCGCAAACGCCGGCCGTAACACCATCTCGTCGTCAGTCGTTAGGGAAATGCGTGCCCTGAGACGGTGGCGCAGCGCATTGTTGGTGGCGTTGAGCGCGGACTTGGGCGTGGGGAGGAGCGTCAGTAGGAGGATGAACGCCATGAGGGGCACGGTGGTGACGAGCGTGAAGAGGACGAGCGGGGAGGCGGCGACTTTCATGGCTTTGTTTAATTTGGGTTGTGGGGGTTGGTTGGGAATGGTGTTTGTGGTTGTTGTGGCAGGAGTGGAGTAATCGTGGTGGTGTTGGTGGTGGTGGTGGTGGTGGTGGTGGTGGTGGGCTTAGAGGTATATGTGGTGGTTGATGTCCGGTGGAGGCCTTCTGGACGGATAGAATCATCGAAGGCGGGCCGCGCCGCACCGTAAGCTCGAGGACGGATAGAACGCAGACATGCACCCCGCGCAGCACCGTGGCCTCTCCACGCGCTGCACCGGCCTACAACTCATACCCCAGCGGGAACGGGAACGGCACGAGCTTAAACACCAGCATTGCCATAATACCCGCGACCAGAAAGACCGCGAGTCCCTTCGCGGCCCTCCCCCGGTTCCGGTACTCGGTGACGAGGGGCATGACGCCGGATGTGTTTTCTTGCTGCTGCTTTGCCATATTGTTTGCTGCTTGGAGATATGTATATGTTCGACTATATAAAAGGGAAAAGGGAAAAGGGGGAAACAGGTGTTCTTATATAACAGATAACTCTTGGCATACCGGAGGGTAGTTCAGCGGTTGGTCTGCTAAGTGATGGTATTGACGCCATCAGTGCCACATATATATGGGGTGGTTTATATTCCATCCTGGGCTCGGAGATAGTGTACAAGTGGTCCACGCTTGATTGAGCCGGCCTCGCCTCGAGAGAGCTTAAAGCACGGCGATGAGGCGAGCATGCTCGGGCTTTAGGTGATCATGGTAAATTAAATCCCCATAAAGAATCCCGACTTTCAACTAATGCGATGTCAAAACACAGACCATATATACAGATCATATCATGATAAAGAAGATAAACGTACTGAAACCCTAACTAAATATACATACCGTCACCGCATGCCCGAGCTCGAACCCAAGTCAGGAGTGAGCCCAGCACGTTATCTGGTTTGCCCCCGAATTTATTCTCTCTAGTAAAACTAACCCGCTATCACATGAATCGTATTTTCCTTGGGAAAAAGAGTTATATTTAGAGGACTACGTACCTGAGAACTAGGCAAAGTATGAGGTACTTGTGCGCGCAGTCATTTCCGGCTTGGCAGCAAAAATGCCAAGGTACTGGTTAGTAATTAATTGCCGTGTAGTTCAAGTACTAGTAGGCTCGTAGCGCGTTAGCTCGACTGACTTGAGGGTGGCGCTGGGGTTTGGGTTCCTTTGGGGTTTTGGTTTTGGTTTTTATATATGGGAAAGGTCAGCTAAAATGACACAATCTGTCTCTGATACGTGCTCTGTAGTAACACATGACACGGTTTGCAATCTATCTACTCGACCTCACGTTGAGAGCACAAAGGTCTAAAGAAAATCAAACATCAAGATAGCGTTTGGTAATTTATTTTAATACAAGAAAAAAACGAAAGAAAAAAAGAAAGAAAAAATTGCAAAAAAGAACAAAAGGTACTGCAGCGTCTTATATGCGCTACTACCCCCACCCCTGGTTCGAACCCAGGACCATTACGTGTACTGGTCAACACTCGGTGTCTAACCCGACGAGCAGTCTAGTACCACCAGACCACTCGCCCATGGTGGACGCCGCGTTGGAGGTGATAATTAAGGCTTGGCACAGTGCCAAGATGAAACCTTTTCAGTCATCCGTAATAATATTTATATTTCATCATGTGTTAGTGTAGTCCTTTTCCGCCAGGGCAGCTACAAGTACCGGCTGTGCGTCTACTCGATATACATATCGTTCTCCACGATCAATAGGGTCTCTTTCGAATTGGGCTTAATATATGTAATTTGTGTATATATGGGTAGCTAGCTTTTCCTCGATTGACAATCTTCCCTAAGTACTTTTAAGAGCTGGCCATGCCATGGAGGCCAGTTTAAAAAATTAATATCTTATGCACATACGGAGGTCTATCTATATACACCCCGCCAACATTCCTACCGTCTTATTCGACACCGACGTCGAAAGCCTACATAACCTCTGGAACGAAAAAAGAAAAAAGAAAAAAACGAGATGGAAAAACAGGGCCAAAACCCGGCAAAAAAAGGAAAGGGGGGGGGGGGGGGGGGGGCTTTCAAGGGTACATACTTCCCCAGCTACATCTAGTATGCAGTTGTGGCTGTAACTACATAGCCCACGTGCCCGTATTCGACTCAAATGATCAGATCGATCAATTGATCAATTCGAATGTCGAATGGGTTTATACAGCACATCATAGTCCCCATCACTTAGTGTTTGGCTCTCTGCTAATTCGCAAGACCACCGATGGAGTGTAGTTTATGACCAGTCCTAGGTAGGGCGTGGATGTACCGGGTGTGTCTAATTTGATTAGGCCTTCAATGATTGAATGCACCGCTCATCCATGTACGAATATTGGTTCTGCTGGCGAATATTACATGTAACCATACGCCTCCACCTAAAAACGAACACACATCTCGTCACCCATCCCGCAATTGCCTCCTAACCTATCAAATTTTCAAGCCTCCCTCCATATCCATCCAGGCCAATCGTCCCATCGCCAGTCTCCACCACAGACTCAGCGCAATCGGATAAAAATAAAGTTAAGATTATGTGCCAAGTAGATGAAGCCTCCTAAGTAATATACACGAACAACCAGAAAAAACACAAACGCCTAGCCATGAATATCAATATCAATATTACTCCCCCCGAACAACAGCAACCCATCGCCCCCCAGCACTCCCGCCTAAGATCTAGACATGCGATATCTCGAAGTCCTAGTCGCCTTAAACAGCTTCTTGACGCTCTCCAAGCTGGACCTAGCCTCCTTCTTACTCTCCCTCTCAAATACCTTCCACGATGATGGACGTTCGTCGATTGGCCTGTTCCACCACCACTCGTTAGTCCAACATTCCAAAGGGAAGCAAAAGCACAAAACTCACCTCGTCTGCGCCTGCACAAACGCCTCTGGCTCCCTATACTCCGCCGGCACATACGGCACACACGCGGGATACACCTCCCGAATCTTCTCACGCTCCCACTCCTCCAGCCCCGAGTCCGCGCGCATCGCCGCATCAATCACCGTCTCCCCGTTCATATCCTCCAGCTTCACATTCGCGCCCTTCTCCAACAACAAATTGACCAGCGGGTTCCGCCAGAACCCAAGCCCCACATCAACCACGCAGTGCAGCGGCGTCTTCTGGCGGTAGTCCATAGCGTCGATGTCAGCCTTGTTATCGATAAGATACCACGCCACCAGCTCGCTCCCGCGCACAGCCGCCAGATGCAGCGCCGTCTCCCCCGTGTCCGTCCGCGCCGCGATCGCCGCACCATGCTCAACCATATATATGACCACGCTAGCCGAGCACGCCTCCGACTTGACGGCCATGTGGAGCGCCGTCTCCCTTGCTGGTCCCTCCACATTGATCCCCGCGCCGGCCTTCAGCAGTGCATCCACCGTCTTCTCATGCGGCGTCCCTTCAAACACCACATGGAGCGGCGTCTTTCCCACGCCGCTCACCACATCGACCTTTGCGCCGGCGGCGACCAGCGCCCTGAGCGTGCGGTATTGCCCCGCCCTTGCGGCCCAATGCACCGGTGTCTCGCCGGCGCCGTCGACAATGTTGATATCGAAGCCCACGTCCTTGTACAAGCGCGCACACTGCACGAGGCGCTGGATGATGTGGGGGTTGCGGAGCGCAGCCCAGTGGAGGATTGTGGCGCCGGTTTCGTCGCGGCCGGCGCCGGTGACGAGGGCGCCATACTGGAAGGAGAGGAGTGTGTCGACGGCTTCGTAGTGACCGTTCTTCACGGCGCAGTAGAGAGGGGTGATGCCGGTACCAGTGGAGTTGAGGGCCCGTGGCTTGGCGCCGTGCTCCAGGAGGAGACGGATGATGTGGGCATGGCCGGCGGTGGATGCCCAGTGGAGGGGTGTCTGGCCGTGGGTGTCGGTTGCGGAGGCGTCGTTGCCATTGGCGAGCGCGAGGCGGGCGAGGTCGAGGCAGCCGTGCTTTGCGGCTACGTTGAGGGCGGGATTGCCGTTGATGCCGTGGAGGACCGCGGCGGCTTTGAGGGAGGGGCTGAAGAGCTTTGAGAACCGGCGGTTGGTGCGTGTGAGTGAGTGGAGAGAGGCAACATCGAAGTGTCTTGATATCACGAGGAGAAGTTCGTCTGGTAGGGTGAGGATCGGTGCCGCCGTGGCTGTGGCGGGAGCTGATATGATCATAGTCATGGGAATAGAGGAGGAGGGATTTTTTCTTTCTGATGGGGGTGGGAGATTTAAGAGACTCTATATCTTCCAGGACCTCGCAAAGATGGCCGTTGAAGTTTGGGGTCGATGTGGGGGTTGCTTTCTATCTGCCTGTATATTAATAGCTCTGCACAGCCTGCCGCGTAAATCATAGAAGCTTGGCAGGGTGTTTACCCTAAAGTAGAGACAGAGAAGCTGTGACGGAGAGGTTGTTATTCTATTGGCTGGCGATAGTTGATATATTGCTTTTCGGGACCGATGCATGCAGCTTGCCTTGCTTACATAGCTCACGAAGCTTGACAATCTGGCGAATTGCATTGCTTATTTGTTGCCGAGGTAGGAAACCCCCGTTTCAACTTTCGGGGGTTGTGGAAGTCCCTAGAAGGTCGTTTCATGAGTCCTGTTATTTCAGTAGTCGGTATATATAGTGGTCCAACATGGATGCGAGAAGGGTCCCCATTGAGGGAGAATTGAAGTATCTACTCTATGCTTGTTTTACTCCACTCCACTCTAGACTGGTGGAGTAGAACTACACATACGCACATGTGGTTAGCCATCACACGACCCTCAGCATGTTTGCAAAAAGCACAAGTAGTTAAACTTACAACTTCGGTGGGCGGCATGGATGGATTATCCACCTGTCCTGTCCGATATTCCCGCGTCAGATCAATCACGATCACGGGTAAATAAAGCCCCCCATCCCCATCCCCATCCCCATCCCCATCCTCATCCGCTGTCATAGCGGCCCTCGGTCCCCATAATCGAACACGTCCAGAAATAAACAACAGCTGCAAGATCGATTGCCGAGCTGAAAAGAACGGGCGCACCATGTCCCTTGTTTCAGGCAATATAGCGAAAAAAGCTTCCCGGCCCATGTAAACCGGGGTACCTCTGCCACCATGGGTACATCCGTGCAAGGATCTTGAAAATTTTAACCTCAGCTTGACAGGAGGAATCACATTAGTATAAGTACATACTAATCAGATAGATAGATAGTTTTAAAGCCGGGAATCCATCCGAATTCTAGAGCCGTTCTTACGGGTTCTCCGACGTTGGAAAGACCTTGAGAATATTGGCAGGACCTGAGGTTATTCTAAGGATGTTTCGAATGTCTCGGATGTTACCTCATAGGTGGACACATTACCCAAACTGGACGGGCCTGGGGTTATCTACTTATGTCATGTCACCCGACAGCAGACATCGAAAGCTGCTCGCCTCGAGTCTGAACTGTCGGGTATTATATTCGTATTTTATTTTATTTTTGTTGCCTGAAAAGTACCAGCTGTGCCAGAGGACGGAGGATTGATCAAGAACCGTATCTACGTTCGTAAATGTCCAGCCCAGCAGTACTCACGTGCTCACCCGAAACATGATCGAGAATGACAACTAGCAACCCGGATGTCCATAATCCGAGTGATTTTTTAGGTCATATGGGGAAGGGCTCGGGGGAAGTCCTAGCTCTGAACTCTCGCAATAACCTTTTATAGATGCAAGGTATATTTAACCCTTTAACCCTTCGTATCCGCTAGCTACAATATACATGTATGTGCTTGCTAATGACACCAGGTTCTCGGGATTCTAGAAGACGCCTAAAAGTGTCGGATATATATAGCAGTTTTTAAACTCTTTGGTGCGCATATTCTCAGAGCGGACCTAGTAGGCAGCTCCTGATGAAGGTTTCCCACGCCAGTAATCGTGTTGGGTTCGATGGTTTTGAATTCTAGTTCTGGCGTTACTCAATATGTGTCCCACCACCGATTCCAGGCTGCAAAAGCTTACACAGATTTCGCGGTAATATAAGTTGTAGTTCACACATAGATATAAAAGTAAGTTATATATACATTATTATTCGCAATATTCCCAAGTAATTTAAGAAGACCCCAGCCCGAAAAAAAACGCTCATCGGTAGAACCTCATAAATACCCCAATGGAGCACGCCTAACGCCAGCACCAATTGAAACTTTAACCAAACTCCTACATAGCTTATCTCTTCGAGGCTCTTTCTTTCCGCTTCTTTTCTATAGCGCTGTTGGCGGCTGGCTTGCTACGCTTCGAAGCTTCTGCCTATAATTCAGAGACCTAGATCTAACTAGCTCGACATCTACGGCCCTGAAGTACTCCCTTATTGAACCCTCGGTCACAGTTATGGTATGTTGCATATGCTCTAATACATGTTGAACCCCCATCACCGCTTGTAAGGCCTTTTGCAGACGATGACCGTTGGACTCGGCATTATTAATGTCGACTCCAGCTTCGCTTGCTAAAACCTCGGCCATAGCTACATGTAGTTGATGTTGCATACACTCCAATATATGTTGATCCTCCATTACCACGTCCCTGAAGATCTCTTTTGCTAAACCCCCGGTCACTAGTTGGTGTTGCGTACCCTCCAATATATGTTGAGTCTCCATTACCTTCTGTAATTCGGATTTGGCATTGATGACGACTCCAGCTTCGCGGCCCCCGAAGACCTCTCTTGCTAAACTCTCGATCACAGCTAGTTGATTTTGCATAAGCTCCAATAGATGTTGAGTCTCCATTACCATCTGTAAGGTCGCTTGCAGACGATGGCCGTACTCGGATTTGGCAATATTAATGTCGACTCCAGCTTCGCGGAAAAGCTTGACAATGGCAGTATGACCACTCTTAGTTGCCAACAGCAAGCCTTTTAGATTTTCGAAGAGCAACGGTTCGCCGATGTTTGAATTGATTTTCAGAAGTATCCTGACCGTAGAAATAGAATCGGATCCGATGGCAAACCGCAATATCTTCCCATAGTTTAATTCCATTTTCTCCTCCTGAAGTGTTACCGCTTTCAGGAATTTCCTACTCTCAAAGGTCCCTTCTATATCGGCATCGAAAGTGGATATTTTCAGGAATAATTCTATTAGGTCGGTGTTTTGAAGTTCGATAGCCTGAAGAAAGGCTTCTGAATAGTTGACACTTGTTAAGGGGTTTCTCAATCCACCGCTGGGGATCCCTAAGAGAATTGAAGTAGCTGATACGTAACCCATCGACACTGCTTTGCTGAGGAGAGCACCAATTCGCCCTCTTTCTGCAAGAGGTAAACACCGTAGGAAATAGGCGCTCCCTTCTTTTCCTAACAATTTATGTTCCTGGACATATCTTAGATCCAAATCCACACCCATTCTCAGAAACTCCCCTATCACCCCCCCAATCCAATCACATAACAACGGACCATGCAGCGCACTGAGTGGCTCCGGTCGACATTGAGGATCAGGGGCTAACAAACTTTGGACAAATGCTATTCCGGCAGGGCTTACGCACGCTTGCCGTAATCGTTGTGTCGGAAACTCAGATTTTCCACGGCAAAACTGATAAAGACCCTCAAAGTTGAAATTGAAATTCCCCTTCACTGTTGATGTCGACCCCCCTACAACGCTTGACAATTCCTCGGACTCGTCACCAAATACCTCGCCATCGAAGAAAGGTATAAATGAAGTTAAAAGCTCGTGCAACATTGCGCCAAGTGACCATATATCTAGAGCATAACCGATTTGTTTCTGTCGTCGTTGGTCCATTGGGAAAATCCCGAGTAATTCCGGAGGGCGATATCCTTCTGTTCCCTGGATTGATCGTGGAATAGTTCCTTCCAGCTGTTTTGCAACGCCAAAATCGGCGATTTTGACCCAAATAGGTTTGCGAGAAGCAATGAGAATATTCTATATTTCGTTAGAATAAAACTAAATACCAGCACACATTTCTATACCCTGATAGATATAATTGTGTGGCTGCAGCTGGCGCAGAGGTTCGGATAGTCAAACCTGAGGCTTTAAATCTCTATGACAAATTCCTTCTTTTTGGAGGACCACAAGTCCTTCTAATATTTGCCTAGTAATTTCTTTTGCATCTCTATTCGCCCCCATTCGGTCTTGGGTCATGTACGCATGCAAGTCTCCATCCTTGATGTACTCCATAGCGTAGAAGATGTACTCTGGATTATCGTACCAACCCAAAAACTTGACAAAGTGTGTACTATCCTGCTTGAATTTTAGCATGCCACTACCACCATACTTTGGAGATACGGCGATATATTCACATTCGTCAACCTCAAGAGAGCGAGCAACTCTTGAGAGGGCCCTTTCTCAGGTAAGAAGCTCAAAGGTACTCTTTTCACAGCCCTTGTGTCATCCTCCTGATGAATTCGAAGCCCCGGTTCATATTCTTTCTTCTGCAGATATACGCTTCCAAACGCTCCGCTACCAATCCTTCTCACTTGCCTCCATTTCGTAGCCCTGTCATGTACTACAACGTCGCCCGCGCGGAACTCGGCCGGCAGCTTGAAGTTATCGAAGCCCGAAACCGAGGCTGCCATGATGGATCAACGTCGACGGTGCAGTATCGTATATAAGGCCTCGACTGGATCGATCTGCCAAATCGCAAGTATGCGGAACCGCTCAACGCTTGGATTGGCCTGTAGCTGTAGCTAAAGCGATCACCTCGAGTATAAACACGCGCGCGGTAGGCTCTAGTGATATACAGTCGCACCTCGTTATGTCGTTAGCGTATGAGACTCTTAGCGTATTCTGGGAGCCAAACCCCTACGAGATAGCAAATAATACGAGACAGCAAATAGATTTTGATGGAGAAGGCCTGTCACGCAAACCCGTACGAGACAGCAAGAGATCCGAGATATCGAATTACGAGATACCGAGATGCGACTGTATACGTATCCCTTAACGACACCCACGCAAAGTGGAGACCGTGATAAAAGATACGCCTATAGGAGCAGCAACGACAGAGTTCGTGTGTGATGAATTATACGTTGCAACACAGACATACATATAAATCTTGCGTTTACGATATCACGATTTCCACTTTGCGTTAGGTGCCGATAATTTCAGCCTGACGCGGTTAATTTAACGATACCCCGCGCGACTACCTAACTCCCCTTCATCACCGGCGAATCGCCTTGCGGGCCAAGCGAGTAGCTGACGCTGCATGCGGCTACGAAATAAATACCTGTGGCGCGCGTGGCGCAGGCGCAAACGAAGCTTTGGGACACGAAGCTTTAGGTAATACATACATGGCTAATCAGAATGGCTAGAGGAAGGATAACAATGAAACGGGCGTTTTCATATTATACCTACATCCCCATAGTCATCATCGAGCTTAATATAGGCCTATTAAACCTACCATAGAATATGTATTCGAACTATTCTAGTGTATAGGTAATGCGACACAAATAGGTAGTGTAAAAAATATTGAAGATCTATGAGAAAATAACATGTTAATTAACCAATTGCAACTACAAGGGAATAAATAATAGAACCTGAGTACTGGAGTTTGAGATTTTCGTCTTTAGAGCGAAACTTTCAATTACTCTCGTCATTGCAAGTACAGCTTTCTAGTCTAGGCCAACTCTTTCGTTATTTCAGAGAAGCACCGAAACTTTTCGAATCTTGCATAAAGAGTATATGATCAAAATAATACGACGAAATCTTACTTACGCACACGGGTTTACATACCGGTAGCTGGCTCCAATTTCCAAGTAACGCTATCACAAATATCGAGTGATTATTCATGAAGTAAATACCAAAACACCACATGGCCACCCACATCCTTTGCTATTCAAAAGGCCACCTAGTTAAACGGACACGTGTATCAATCAAATCCATAAAGCACTATAATAGCTCATGACCCCAAGAATCCACTCTCATCCATATGTTCATGTCCATAACCTCTCTCGCTAGCCAGTAGAAGCTGGCTCTTTACCGCGGATCCAACCCCAGAAGGTTCCTGTTTTCCGTCCCATACGTATTTTCAACCCAGATAGCCCCTTGATTGGATTCAGCCCTCAATCAGTGTACGGTGCGATGGAAACTACCTATTACTGCTGAGATAATTCATTACTGGACACATAATATGGTGCTCCTTCGATTTGCTGGCCGATAATGTTCATCATTGGAGATATATGGTGAGCCTTATATATCCTATATATCCAACCATATTTATATAATCCAATCAGCTAATGCCCTCAATCTAGATCGAGGAAGTATCATCAACGTACTCAAGGTTACACAGTTCAAGGTCTCGCTATGCACTATGACCCCCAGTATTCCCAATCGCAAGCCAATGAATACATCAAATTCAACAACCCAACCACTCCGACCAACAATCCTAACCACCCCAAACCCTACGCGCACGCACCTGCTGACTTCTATATGCATGCAGTAGGTGCGTACATGTATGCCTCCATATATAGGCCCCCCCCCCCCCCCCCACTTCTCTATCCGAGAAGCAGCACCCTCCCTAGTACATATATATAAATTATGCCGACTCCCACACACAAGATAGGATACAACTCCCGGGATCCTGAGATCCCGAAAGTCGAAATACCGGCGTCCGGAGTCCGATATATCGATATATCAGGTAGGCTGTGCTTGCTGCCCGTACCACACGGAACAAATTACTAATCGCTGGCACTATATAGGAAACGGTAATGGAAGGACTGTTATCTGTGCGCTGGTACGTATCGGGCGCTAGCTATCAGTGCTGGTAATGTTGATAGGGTTTTATCCCTGATATCATGCTGGGAAATATACGTATCAAGTTATCCTTTAAATTTCGAAAGAGAAGTTTTGGCTTATGCTTATAGATATCGATGCTAACGTTCTAGATTGTGAGACTAGACATCGGAGGGGTCTGTTGCTAGTACTGCGCACTGGGGACATGGTATAATCGGATTTATATTTTTTTGGCCATCTAAGTAAAGTTCGTACTTCTAAGATCCCCATGTAGTAACTAACCCAACCCAACCCTAATTTTCCTAATTCTCACAAATTCTTTTTGAAATAATTATAGCTCCCCGCTTCACGAAAAAATCAAATAACTCCTCTTCGAATCCGAATGTAAAACCATGTAGCTAACCAATCGCAAATTACGCAAGGAAACAAAAGGATCGACGTAAAAGAAAATAAAAAAAAAGAGAAAAAAGAAAGAAAAAAAGACTATATAAAGACTAAATAAAAAAAACTCCAAAAACAAACCAAACTAGTCCCCCAATTGCAAAACCAAGGTAAACCTACACCGGCGACTCGGAGTTCCGCGACAGCTCATACTGGCTCTCCCCCGCAAACGACGCTCTCTCCTTATTCTTGACACCCGCCTTTGGGAGCACCATACCTCCATGCACAACGTTAAACACACACTGCACCATAAACATCGGCACCGCATCCAAGCAATAAGCCCACACCTCATTCTTCTGGACCGACGACGTTCTATCCGCCGAGTACTCGATAAGCCTAAACACGCATCTCATGATGATGAACGCCGCCGCAAAGTACAACACCTTCAGCATCGTCGTCCAGTGATACCTTCCATACTTCTGCGCATCCACACCCGCCTTTGAGACGCGGAAATAGAAGACCGACGAGATGACGAGGAAGAATATGAAGGAGGCGAGCTGCACGTAGAGACCAACGAGGAGGATGTTCTTGCCCATCTGCTCCTTGCCTTCCTGGGTGATGAGGGCGCCGCCGCCGGCTTGGATCACGAAGGCGAAGAAGTCGCTGCAGACGAAGACTTTGGTGACCCAGGTGGGGCGGATGAGGGAGAGGTGTGCGGCATTGACGAGGAGAACGATGCGCCCGTAGATCATGTAGATGGTGGCGGCGTAGAGTGAGGGTGGGAGCAGGATGAAGAGCAGTTGGAGAACATAAGGGGTGAGGTTTGTGGAGTTATTGATGGAGATGAGACGGAAGACGTAGCCGATACACATCACTAAATGGGTATGTTAGAATACTACTCTTTTTTTATATGGGGATCTGGTTATCGGGACATACTGTAGGCTCCCGTGAGGAAGACGCCAAAGTACCAGGCGCGGTAGCGGAACAATTGGTATGTATGGGCAATTGCACCAAGACCAAAGAGGGCGGCAAAGGCTATCGCGGCGGTGGTGCTAGCGGACTTTCCACGCCAGTAGTCGAGAACCATCTCGGCCGTGGGTCCAGCAGCTGCAGCGGTCGTTGTGGCCGTGGCCCGTTCCACAATGGAGAACGTATCTGAATACATTATTGTGTGGAGAGCCGGGAATTTAAGTTTAAGTATAAAAATTAAAGGAGAAAAAATGAAAAAATGAAGAAACAAAAAAGCTTAGGACCTAAAGTTGACAAGCAGGGACTTAAAAAAGAATCGAATAGTAGCTAACTCAGGGTAGGCTAGATAAGGCGTAATAATATATCCGTAGTGTTCGATATTTAGATTCCACGAGACAGGACTCGCCCCAAGATCTTTATACACTCTCTGTACCCCCCATGAAAATTACTCACCCCGGGATCCATACCACTCGTATATTCCAAACTAAGCATAAACTACATACCTAGCCTGAAAAATGCACGACACAGCCCAGCTCCACGTACCCTCAAACCAAACCAAACCAAACCAACCCCTAAAAAAATCTGCCACGCGAGCAATATTCGGGCCATGCACCGAAGCTCGGCCCCGAGATGTCAGCTATAGCCCGGGACTCGGCGGGTTCGGAGGCCGAGGCCGCCGGGTAAAAAAAAATTAGAAAGGGTCTACGTATGTTTGCACCACTGGGATCCCTGGATTATGGTGTAATGCGGCTATGCAGAGTGCTTGTGGTGCTCATTGCAAGATTAATGATCCTCCGCTAGAGGTAGAGAACGGTTGTTAATTGGCCATGGGCTGGTCGGTTGGTTGGATTGAGGGCGAGTGAGCGCCCGTGACTCGCTTAGTGCTGGTGAGGCTTGGCAGAGCTTATTTCTAGGGGTTGCAATTAATTGGGATAGATGATTCTGAACATCAGCCCTTCCCCTTCCATCCGGATCCTCAGATGCGGAAGAATACGAACCTCCATGAATCACACCCTGGCTCTACTCTAGTTAGAATTGTCCATGATTCAACTAATCCCTGGCGCAGCAGCAACCATAGCCTACCAAAGAGCTTGATTAAGATAAAGGGGGTAATCATGAGTAATTGCAGAATATTGCACTTTACCTGAGTACTCTATTGTGCACAAGATCAAAAAAAAAAAATTTAAGCACCACGGCCACGAGCACAACCGAGATTTTCCCCTTCCCTGCGCTGACGCGTATCCGTATGGGCTGGGCCGTGGTCATCAAATCAATAACTACATGATGTGAGCTCGCAGATCTCTCTCCAATCGTTAACGATATCTACTTAAATTGCCTTGAGCTAAGATAGATTGAATGGCACTTTGTTCCGAAATAAGAAACCGTCGATCCGGCCCCGTTGACAGCTACATATATGCACTAGATGACTAACAGCGGAAATAAACATGTAGTATCAATCATGCACCTATCCAGATCACACTCAGATGCTAGATAAGCCTCAACGTGCGCCTGTTTAAGCGGATGCTTAACCCATCGGTCAAGCGCAGATCATTTGCCAAGCCTCCTCCCATCTATTAGCAGAAACTGGTGGTACATATATCCATGCACCTCAGCCAGAGCTGCGTCTTCTCGCAATACACACGGCCGACTGGTCGAGTGATAGGACATGACTCGCGTCAAGTTACCCCCGTGTCACCTGGCACGCGCGCAGCACTCCCGACTTCACCGCACCAGCTGGGTACGGTACAATCTCCTTATAAGGGTTCGGGTTATAAGGGTATTCGCCTTATAAGGGTAGGTGTTGGGGGCCCCCATTGGGCCTCGTAGGTACAAATTTGCTCCTCCTATAAGGGTAACCGCTCTATAAGGATACCAAATTTCGGCCCCGACGTACGCTTATAAGGAGATTGTACGGTATCGACTATCGGAGATAGAACCCCCAAACAGGATCTAGGAGTATTCGGGCTTCGGGACGTTAATCTTCGGAGCCAAACTAATCAGAGCGTCATGGCGATAGGGGGACGGACAAGAGTATATATACAACCAACAACCCGCGCCGACTAGCTTGCAGGAACCTTTGGAAGATGTCGAGTAGGCTAGGACGTTCGAAATATGGTGCATTATCTACGGTTCTTCTTACTTCGATCGAGCGCTGTGAGCCGACCCCCGGCGTTAATGGGTGACTGCATGTTTACTTACTCCTCGGTCACGAGAGGTACGTGTAGTTACCTCCGTGGGCTTGGACGTGAGCGTTAGTGGTGCCGGTAGTGGTTCATACTGCTCAGGTATCAACTGCTACTGTAAACGCGGCATGGCGACAGCGCGGGTAGGCCGGGCGGTGAGGTAGGTCGGGTGGCGGTAGTAGCAAAACTCGCAGCCGGAGGAGCCGGAAGGCGTAGGCCGGTGGAGATGTACATGCCGAAACGAAGGATGGTACTTTGGAGATTAGGGTCGAGTATATCACGCTTCAAAGACTGGATTTGGTTAATTGGAGTTAGATAGATAGATGGATCCCGGCCCGCTGTGAGAAGTTATCATTATCCTTATGATGCTTTCACTGCGAAACCATCACTTCTCCTTTCTACACGAGTGCTGATGATACTCTGGTTTCATGACCTGTCCATAACTAATAAACTTAACTACTACTTACTACTAGTTCCATATACCTACATATACATGTACAACCAACACAACCAAACACAACCAAACACACCACCACCACCACAAACGGCACACAAACATCACCCGGCCCAAGCACATGCAGGCCGACGAAAGCATCACACTATCCTCGTTGTATGCACAGAAGCCGCACTTGGGACTACATATACCCTCACAAACACCTACCTATTACACCTACATACTAGGACCACCGCAGTGAATATCTGGAGCTAGAGCTAGCCAACTTCTCAATTAATATAAATGGTAGCATTGGATAGATTATCCACACAAAACCAAAGCGAAGAACAAACCAAAGCGAGCCAGCCGGCAAGATAACCAGCAACGTGACCAACCCAAAAGGGCGCAATTTAAAGACAAACCGCACGATAAAGATCGAACGAAGAATACAGATATATACTAGGGACTAACATGTAGCTAGCTAGCTCGAGTATCAAGAAAGAAAAAGAAGAAAGGAAAGAAAACACACCAGCCGCGCGCGCATCAAAAAAGCTTAGTTAAGCGCGAAGGCGGCCTGTTGGCTTGTTTTGGTTTTTATGTGATTTTATTTTCGTTTTTATTTTATTTTCTTGTTTAGTGATCAAAGTTACTGTTGCTATAATTACTGCCAGATACTTATTGACCGGGCTGCAAACAATGCCCTATTACAAAGCAACAGAACAGCGAGTGATACTTCATGATTCTACGGCCGGCCCATCGATTTATTTCAGCCGTAACAGTGATTATAAGAGGACAGAGCGCCAAATAAAAAATAAAAATAACCAAACCAAAAGAAAAAGAAAGAAAGAAAAACCAGAGAAAGACAACGAGAAAATGCGTTCTATTTAACTGAATTGAACAGGGAAAATCTCTCCATGGCAATCAAAATTTCTATTCTGACATGCAGCAAACGCCAGAGCTATAGTAACCATACAAATCAAGCCCAGCCATGCTGCCACAATACGTGATTGCCCCCCCCCCCCCCCAAATGCACGATGCGTTACTCCCATGATGCGCTACCCCCAGCTGTGATATCGATATCACTCCACCTACAGCCCCCAGACCAGCCATACATCACTCACAAACTCCTCCTGGACCCAGCGCCACTCCCGCACCCACCACTCGCCGCCCACACCCACACACTACTCGGAATCCTATACCTCAGCATCAACTCCTGCAACCCCAACACCCCAAAATCCCTCTGAAACTCCCCCAAAATCGCCGCCAGGCCATCCCTCTGTGTTTCGCCGAATGTCCCCACCTCCCGCGACACCCTAGAAACCAAATGCCACATGACCTTTTGCTTGACAAACAGCTGCGAGTCCACATGCAACGTGAACCCGCCGGCCACGCCCGGCGTCGGCGTCGGCGGCGGCACAACCCACGTCGTGATCAAGTTGCGCCGAAGCATCCGCCCCCACGATTCTCTTGCCGTCGGCATGTTGACGAAGCCTGCCAGTCCGGGAGTCACACAGAACATGATGCGCCCCATGAGGAAGCAGTCTGCGACCTCTCTCGCGTCCGGCTGCGGGCGGCCCACGAAGGCCTCCAGACGCTCGTTCTGGAACCGTAGCTGCAGGAGCCACGTGATATAGAAGAGCCTGTGGGGAAAGAGCTCTTTGTCCGTGCGGCCAAAGAAGTAGGGGGCGACGCGGGACTCGCGGTAGGTGGGGAGCCTCTCGTCGGCGGACCGCTCGAGCGTGATGAGGTAGACGGCGCGGCAGTTCTCAAACCAGGCGCGGTTGATGAGCAGTTGGCGGAGGTCGTGGTCACGCAGAACGAACGGGGAGCGGAGGTCGCGGACGACGTCGTGCGTGGCGGTGAAGTGTGCGGTGGTGTGGCGCTGCCAGGTGAGCACCTCGGTGCCCTCGTCCCAGGCATCGATGAGCAGGGCGCGGGCGTGTGCGGTGAGGAGGGTGGACTTGTGGCGGAGGAAGAGAGTGTGGATGAAGGGGGAGGTCAGGACAAAGCTGCGCAGGTCCTCGACATCGTCGATCAGGAAGAGGATGTTGATGATGATGTCTGCAGGGAGGTGGTGAAAGTCAGTGGCATCGGCGGTGGAGGCGGACGCCCACTTGAAGTGGTTGATAAGCTTCTTGATCTTCGCAGCGAGCGAGTGCCTTTTGGCGATGTCTTTTGGCGGTGGGGTCATCTCCCTTGTGGCTTCTTCCGTCTCTCGAGCGAGCTGTGCGGCCGTTTGTTCGTTCATCTTTGAATGTTGTGGTGGAGAGAGAGAGAGAGTAAGTTGTGGGAGAAGACGTTCGTGGGTGAACGACCGCCCGCCAGTAGACGTTTGGCACCTTGGCTCACCCAACACGCATTAACAAGTCTGTCTGCCACTAACTGCCTGGTTCCCATCGATATCCTACATGCACAATCGCCTCTAATCCCACCCAACAGACCTCTCCCACCTCAAACTCAACACAACTCGGTTATCCTCCAACTCTGCAGCGTAGTCTTCCTTCCCACCCCCATCGAGAGGTACCGCCAAGGATTAGCAGTGAGTGATGTCCCATGATCAAAGGCCACAACACACCACTTTTTACCCAACTCACTTCAGTGCTCGATTTCTGCTCTATCAACGCCCGACAAGTAGACCCTTTAAACCTTGCCGGAGCTTCACTAGCACGAGCCGATATTATCGTGGTCGTTATTAGTGATGCTGGTGAAGAAACCCTAACCCTGGCGAGCATGTGACCCTGTCGAATTGCCTTATGGACTAGATAGACATCTTCGCTGCAGCAGCTTAGTAAGAACATCATATGTAAGAACAGGATAATGAAGAACATCACCCAGGAAAGCATATAGATACGGTTATCTGTATCGAATAAAGACTTCGGCGGCCTTGACTTTCGTAATCTTTCAGATTCCTTCTAGCAATTAAGAAATTAAGGGAAGCGCCATAACGGTCCCATACACCGTGAAGCGAGGAGTGTAATCTCAGAGTTCGAATACTTGAACATACGGTACTCTGGCTGTCGGTTGGATAAAAACGAGAAGATGATTAATTGGAAGGATATTTTCTCGGTCAACCAACCAATTGTGTGGTCGAGTGGAGTTTGGAATTAAAGACGAACCACCAACCAGCTCATAAAATGGGTCAGGAGGTTACTCTCAAGCGATAAAAGGTGCGATTGTATTGGATTGGTGGTAGGAGAAGAGATCGAGAGGAAGGATCTTTCGTCTCTAATATATACATCTATGTGCTAAGAACACCTATCTTTATGGCGTTCTAGACACTTATGCCATAATTCGTTGAGGACAAAAAATACCCTGATCATACGTATGAAGACACCCTGGCTCTGAATTTACTAGTACGTTCGTGGACAACTCCCCACAGCTCAAGTGGAGATTTGTTACCACGATCCAAGCAGTGATAGCTCTAGTATACAACTGCACACCTTCTAGGTTCTTTTATAACCCGTGGGACAGTTTGTTTCATTGCTTCATTTAATTTGTGATGAAGTTCTGGCGCTCTATATTGACATACAATGTCCTAACATACAGGTATTTTTAACTACATGTCTAATATGTATTGAAACTCTACTTTTCGATAGCCTTTGCACGTTGATTGGTCGAGAGCGACAGGGGTGGTTTATGAAGCACGACACATCAAAATACAGATCTAGAGAAGGTCCCCATAACTCTAGTGGGAGAATTGAATTAGAGAGAATGGGGGGTAGAAAGGAAAGGGGGGTGGGGGGTGTCGAAAGCCCCCCGTTTTAGGCCTTTTACAATTATTGAACACTTGATTGATACCCATAATCCACAGTACAACTCGCGGCCGCGAGGCCACTACTAGTATTTATGTATCTAAAGATATCTCCAAACCTTCAATAAGAGATTAATTGTAAAAGAACCCCTCATCTAGGCCCAAGACCCGGTGGCTCCTATAGAAGATCTCAGCCGTAGTATCCCTACTTTCAGCCATACACCACATTCTCAAGCTACCTAGAAAGCTACTCCCTGAATTCAATGTGCTTACATCGAGTGATCCCCCATGACTCTGCTAACATCACGTGTCAAGAAGATCATCCCTCGGGAACACATCCACGAACAAAACAGACTTTACTTATGGCATCGAAATCGCTATTGTCACTATTATCGCAAAGCTACGCAGAGTCTCCCATGCATACAGACATATGATGAGAACACGCAGGATACCTGTCTCAAAAAAAAGACTCACCAACGATCATACGATTTAGTGTATACGTGTGCGGGCCGCAAGATGATGTGTTATCGTGAACTCTGAAGTATATGCGATAACGGTTTTTTTTTCCTTTCTCTTTTCTTGAAACAGTAGAGGCCAGATCTCTGATATCGCCGATTTCGCAGTACCTACTGTGGGTAATGGTGTTTATACCCATATGACTATTGATATGAAGCTTAAATCCCTCTGGCCAAGTCACCACGTAGGGACCGGCGACATCAAGCCAGGTGAGCATCGCCAGAGCTTTTTCAAAACAGACAAGGGGCAGTGTACTGGGATTTGTCATACCAAGAAAGCCCTGCAAAAAAGGGTCTGTGAGTCAAGGCGCCGTTATGCATTCGAATCAAGCCCAAAAACACATCTACGCACGGTTGCTCCAGCATACCGTGTGGTGCTAAAAATAAGTAAAAGTACATGTATGTACAGACCCCTATCCGGTCCTGCGATACCGGATCGGACTCTTACTACTCTAGCTTGACTGTCGAGAAAACGCCATACCAGAGCTCGGGAAGCTTCTCTCTTGGCCATGTTTAGAAGCGCGCGAAGCCATTGTTGCGAGATCCCCAAACATTGGCCATGAGGCTTCTTAAAAATTCGCTTCGCCGCGGCGTACAATCTACGGGATACCCCGCTAAACTGCAATGCAGGTCAACCTTAACGGATTTCCACCAATGCAGCACATAAAGCTTTTTATTTTGCCAGAGAATTAAATCTGAATGGGCAGGTCAGCCGAAAATTTGCTTGTTTCCACGTGTATGTGCTGTAGAACATAAAAATGGGCTCTGACAGGCGGAATATTCCATCACTGCAATTGGGGATTAGACCTGAAATGAACAATCACTTGCATTTAGGGCTCCCTCAATCATCAAGAACTATGCGGCCTATATAATATTTCTGAGATTAGAAGTGTTAAGCCAGCTAGATAAGCAATATTAATCACAACCAGTCCGATCCATCGTGAACGTTTTCTTTTTCCTAGGTTCACCCCGCTATTTTCAAACCTGAAAAGAATTAGTCGCAAATCTGTCTGATACTTGGGCTATCACGATGCCCGCTGATATCATCATGCCCTGACATGACCATATATATGGAAAATTAAAAGAAATCTGTTGTATAGCCCGAGACTAGGGATTAAAGCCCTCCCTGAGATTAATACAGTACAGGAAAAATTCTTTGAGATCGGCATTCCAGTTCAGAATCTTTACAGTATGCTGGTGATTATCCCCGGTAGAGGCGTAGAGTCCAATATTGCACTTGATAAACCTACATGAATCCGCACCCTTATACGTCCTAGGCGGCCTGGAAGAAAGCTGTTTGAGTCAATTTATGTTTTAATAAATATGTACCTTTGGTAGCTTCGTAGACGGCAGCATTAATTGAGCAGCTAGTCTTTTACTAAGTAAGTAGCCTACAAAAACTAAGTTCGTATTTGGTTATGTGGCCTGGGATCAATTTTGAAAATTGTCTAGGAGTCAAACAGCCTTCTTCTGCGGGAAAAGCAAACCCGCAGCCTTGAACGGTTGAGGAGTCGGAACACACCTCCTTTAGGAGAGTCTTATTGGTTAACTCAAGTTATGTATGTATCTTCAAGGTTGGTGCTGAGGTATTACGGGTCCCAAATATGAGGAGACAATCCATGTTTTCACATTTTCGTATTCCGTCATTCGTGTCTCTGCAGTAATCTATCTCATGACCATAGACCACTCAAATTAAAGGGAAGAGTTCTTTATGGCACCTTAGACACGCCTGAATATTGGTATCCAATGATTTACAGTGGAATTACTCTCCGAATCCTACAGCGCACGGCACAGATCAGATTAGTTCGATAGGTCACACAAGAGAAGAAGTCACAATTTCGTACCGATAACGGATGCTGTGCGGTTAAGCCTCTCTAACAGCCCAACTCTTTCCTCCGAGCTCGCCGAAATTTCACATCCCGAAGCCGTTGCTCCACCGGTGATCGACTGCGGATCCGAGGTTTCCCTCGCCATAACCGGTACTGAAAAGGCAGATCCTCCGTAGTCCTCTTACAGCTTCCACTTTCAAGTCACGAACTCTTCAAGTCATTCTTATTAGGTGAGATTATGTACTTTCATAGCCAATTCAATTTTCGAGGGTCGTTTGACAAGAGGCGTTTCAAGATCGACCGATCCGACAATAATCTCGCGAGTCAAGTGACTATGTGGTGATTTAACATTGTACATACATAGTTGACTTCAATTTTGCTGAGATTAGTGGCGTAGATCTAATATAATATGTGCCAACCCGCTTAAGATTAGATAAACAACTTCGTGGTCGTATAGGTTCTCATCTGAGCGTCCTCAACCAAAAGTAGAGGTAAGATGAATATCAATTGGAGGCACCTGTAAACTGAGCTTGATGTTGTTTTCGGTTATATTTTTGATGCCCGCAGCGGACTGTACCTACTGGCCCCCCTGGAGTTATTGGGGATCGATCGATTACACGAATGTTTTTGCCTTTAATTTAGGATCAATAGAAAGAAGTGTAATTTTGAAGAATATGTACGTCAATGGACGTAGGAAGTGATAGAGGGTGTGCAGACGTCAACGTGCTTGAAAGGTTAGCTAATTAGCCAATCAGTTTACGTAGCCACATACTCGTGTTGTAACATAGAAATATCGATCTGTTACCTACACTGGCGCTAGCTGGCTAGCATTTACGGTGGCTCCCACGCAAAAAATATGTCCTCCAAAGTTGACACTCCCAGCGCCTTATGGCTTCTCGCGGCGTAGCTTAATTACCGTTCGGAAAGTAATTCGTCAGCGTATTCAAGTATTCCATTCATATAGAGTTGCATATGATACCCGAACTTTCACGAGGTTACTGTGCATATGCTCACTCCCTCTCAGAGGTGTGTCACAACTCCCTCACCTATCTCTAAGCTGCTGACATTTTTGGTGTGTTGAAGAAGGTGGCTAGTAGCCACAAAGTTTGGACCTAAATCATAATCTCACCAATCACCAACCTCGATTTATCGT